TGTCTGTTCTTTATGCATTCCTAAACCGTTCAACCGAATGCTATGAAATTTGGTATACAGGAATAGATTAGACCTCTGGAAGAAGATAGGCTAATTTAAAAATTAAGAGGTCCAATCTCAGGAGGTGCATAAACAGGGATTTTGAGATTTACGATGGAAATTTTTGTTTGTAAAAGGTTACATATTGGTTTATAGTAATATTAACAATAGTAATAATAATAGTTGTAATAGTAATTACTCGACAGAATTTTCCAGAAAAAAAGGAATAAAAATACATAATATAATTCAAAATAAATTAAATATTGTTGTAACAATAATACTTATAAGTATATTTTAACCATTATATTGTAAAATAAAACATATTATACGCGTATAGGGTTGGCATTATTAATTGTTTAATGTGCAACGAAGTGCACGGTATCACCATTTAGTATTAAACAATAAAATAGCACATTCACCTACAAGGCAATACCTAATAACCATGGTTTATATTATCCATAACGGTATCGGTATATTATAGAACAATAAATAGTGTATTGTATATCAATGATTATAGAGTACTGATTAGGTACCTATAATCTATATACGGCTATACGTAGCTGATGACTTTCAAACGAGTTATAGATTTTTAAACAGAAGATAAATCGTAGATTTTCAATAACGTCAAAAATGTAAAAGTTTTTAATGGTAACAGTAGTGAGATTATAACAACGTTTACATAGGACATAGGTAATATTACTTATGCTGCTAGAATGTTATACTGTAGATACGTACCTATCTACTATTTGGTTAGGCTAGATTAGGTTTGGTGATTAATTGTCCAAGTAATAATTACCTTGGTAACAATAATTTAATCCTATTATCATTATACACTACTAGCTATATCTATATATTCATGATTTTTTCTCACATCCGCGGGAGACTGAATAGAGTATAGACCACTACTCCGATGAACATTGGAACAAGGCCCATAAAAAACCACGCCACTTAGAGGGAGCTGTGTAGGTATTAAGTATCTTATAACTGAGTTATGCAACAGGTATAGGAAATAATATGTAAAACCAGCAACATGATATTGTCATAGAGGTAATATAACATTTAAATAAGTCTCTGATTCTGAGGTTTTCGTATATTTATTGATACAAATTCTAATATAATATACATAATTATACAGTTGGATTCGCTGTAGGGATATAAATTCAAAATTAAATATCCGGAAATGCTTTTGTCACTGGTATTCTTTTCCAAAACCTGACGTAAATATTACTATTTTTTTTTGTGCATTTTCCATACTTAATTAGAGTAATGTTATCCTTTAGTAATTATGGTATAATCACAAAAATGTTAAAATATAATTTTTATATCATATTAAAATTAAACACTGCTATTATTAATTAAATAATCAATTTGTACCTGACAATTAATATACTTCAATAGAGGAAACAAAATTTAATTATTTCTTATATAATAGATACTTGGTAATTAATACAATTGTATTCAAAATATTAATATTATTTGAACGGCAAAAATTACCCCGGACGTTGAATTATGTGGTCTGATACCTGGTGCAACAAAGGTGAAAACTCATAGTACTGTGTTTTTTTTAAATTAACTTTAAATAACAACCGTCGCCAGAAATAAATTTCAAAATAGGGAAGTACCTATACTCAAAAATGTGAGAGGTACAGACTTCGTTATTCGTCCGGGGCTAACTATTTTTGTAACTTAGGTATTAGGTTATTGATAGTTTGAAGTTGAAAGTTACTTTTTGGTAAGTAGGAGCTACAAGCAGTGATCAAATTGGGAAAAACAAATGCTTATATAAACATTCAGAGGAAATTCCATGTACCTATCTACAGCGCCACAGCGGTAATTTTTCTGAGAGCTAAACCAAAAACCAAAACCGATCTAGCGTAAAACATCGCGGTTTTCCTTATTTTTGTTTTCGAGTACCTAATCATTTTCAATTTACGTCAAAGCGCAACAAGCAAATTTGAAAAAAAGTTTAGGCGATCAAAAATGTACATCATTTAGCGGAAGCGAAGACGTGTTGCACTCGCTGCGTATCGTGTGAACGCAGCTGCCGCGCCGCCGCCGACGCCGACGACTACGATGAATACACCGCGCGTGACCTTCACTTCGCACAATCACAATAACAACTACCTACGACGACGTTATCGTTTTCAACGCGGAAATCAACAAAAACATTATCTACTGATAAGGCGCGCGCGCACACACACACGGACAAGTCTTACGGTTACGACACAATGACACATCGGGCGACCACTTTGCGAACGGAATCGCTCGAATAACGTCAAAAATGTCGTCGGATCGGTGAAAATCGGCAGTCGAGTAACAACACTGTTGCGGCCATCGTCGGCGGTAGTGTCCTCTACGCGACCTACACGGGTTCTCCGACGGTGGGTACGCCGTCCGTAATTATTGTACCTCGACGCTACTTTTGGGGTAGGTAGTCAATTCACTGGTACAGGTGCGCTCATCGCAGTCGGACGTCGTGCCCGACTCTACGGATCGTGTCGGCCGGAGTCCACCGCCACCGAACAAGGTATGTGAGCAATAATCATCCTGTCGTGCGGACAACGCTGTCATCCGATACGCCATTTTAGTCCCGTACGCCTGTGCGGGTATGTAGCAAGCTACCTACTGGCTACCGAGTATTATAGTTCCCGGACGCCATTGACGGTTTTGTTGTTTTTCTTCTATACGACTGACACCTGTGTACATTGTGCTCTTCAGGCCTCCCTGAATATTATTATTTGTCCTTTTTTTATCATTGTTAAAGAATATAGAAATGTCACAATTAGTTTCTTTTGCTGTCTGATAGGCAGCTAGTGGTTAGAATAGTATACTATTATATGCCTTGTAAGTTTGTAACAATATATTATTACCAAAGGATTCATTTTAAAATTATTTTAATTTTCACTAAGGTACCTACAATAATATCTTATATAATTATCCATACAGTTGTTATGACTCAATTCTGTTTGATTCCAAAATCAAAATAAATGTTAATATTAATTATAACAATGATATAATCATTGTTAATTTACAAGTGAATGATAAAGAGCACTTGTTCAACTGGTTTAGAAATGTCATGAAGTGAGATTTAAAAACAGGTTTTTGTACTCTTTGGTTAAAACAGAAAGTTTCTGGAAGTATATAGCTTACATGCTATATGCTTATATGGGTGGGTACATGCATTATTATGATTTGAAAAGTTTGAAATTGATTTAATTCAGTTAGGTCCCATGTAACTTTTTATTTAGATTTTAGGTTGTATTGTGGTTAAACTTGTGTTTTACCATATTTTTACTCATTTTAAATTAATATGGATATAATTCATAAAAATAAAACATCTCAAACTGTTATCAAATAATTTAAATTTACTAGCTTTACTGTTATCCAGACAAAATGTTTTTTCTAGAATTAAATTATGAATTTTCATAATTTAATATCTTTACATTGTGGTGAAATTGTAAACAAATAGTGATACTACTGAATTATTCCTACACTAGTTGGCTACTTCAAACCACAGTAGAAACAGTGCCAAAGAACCTTTAAATTATTTTTGTGTTATTTTCATACATATATTTTGTTTCCTGGATGTTAGGTTAGGGTAGGTTAGGATATTAAATGTCAAAAAAGGTTTACAAAATGAATATAATATTTCGGGTTTAATTTAAAATTAAGCATCTGAATTTTTCTTAGTACCTATATAGGTACTAGGTAGGTAGATGCCACACAGTAATTGTATTCTTATATTGTATTTGATAATTTACGAGATAATTTATAACATATATGCATATGAAAATGTATATTGAAATGTGTTGACCTTAAAAAATGTAATAAATTTCTTTGCAAAAAGTGTTTTATTGGCCATAAATCTATGCTTTTTAAATATTTACAATTTCAATTTATTCTATCTCATCAATAATGTAAATTGAATGTTCTACCTATAGTAAAGCGTAATCTTGAATGCGCTATTGGTATATAATATTTATATCTGCTCTTGATGTACAATTTTACTATCTTACATAGGTAGGTTCAGTTAGTAATTTTATTATTAGTTATTTTTACTGTTAAATTTAGTTTCTTTTACCCGAGTAAACTTTTTTAAGTGTGTAATTAACAGAAATTATAACATTATCATATCATTTATTGATTACATAAACAATATTAAATAGTTGGTGCTAGAAGCCTTAGATAATTTATACATTTATCAAGCAAATATACTTATTAGATTTTTAGTGTATAATTAGAAGGCTTTAAGTTTTTACTAATAAACTACCTATTAATTTGTTTATTTATTTAGAATTTCTGTGTTATTTATGTTTGATATAAAAAAGTTTTTTATTTACTTTTACATCAAATTTATTTTAGATGTGAATTTTGGCATTAAAATCTTAAATTTACAAAAATAAAAACATACTACACTGTCAAGGGAAAAAATGTATAGGTATTTATCTGATAAAGTGAATTCAAAAAAATATCTGCTTTTGATATTTATTATAAATTTTTTGCATAACAAATTATACAGAAATGTATGTTAATATTGTGGTACACTAATACATTCTACTAAATAATAATAATAATAATAAGTAATAACAATAACAGTACATTTTATAATATTTTCGATTTGTTGAATGATTTTAGTAAAATTAATTTGTCTTTTATTATTTAATAACTTATAGGTAGTTATTAATATTGAATAGTTACACCATAATATAAGCATTTAAAATAGCATTACAATTATTGAAGAAGGTATAACTTGTGTTTACATTAGTTTGAGATTTAAAAAGTTTTAAGAAGTATATGTATCATATTGAAAATATTCCAGTGAGCGATATCCAATGAACTACACTTGCATTAGAAATTAAATGTTAGAATAGTGTATACAGTACTATTGGTACTAATATATTAATTTTCAGATTTTATTAATTGTTCTTTTATATTTCATACAATTTATATTTTATTTCTAGATGATCTCATACCTCCAAGTTCTGAAGAAAACACGCGCGGGAATGTATTTCAACAATCTACTACATTGACAGCAAAAATGTGGCCTCCTGTAGGTTTTATCTGATTATTTAATTGTTGTTAAAAAATTATTATTTACACAATATATCATGTTGATTTTTTTAATCTTTATATTTAATGTTTATGTTAATTCTAAGATTATGCATTCAATTTAAATTGTTAAGCATTGTTTAGTGAACTAAACAAGTTGCTAATTTAATTATTATTTGTGTAAATAATAATTGCTTACTAAAATATATTTTGAATGAAGTATGTATAGATAGTATTCTTAACAAAATATTATTTATAATAATATAAAAAAAAATAACACATTTCATGAAATTTTAATATTTTTGTTTTGCAGGATATTTCCGGAGGTTTTGATTGGACCTTGGACGTTTTGGGATGGCAAGTGGACAAGGATCAATTGTCAGTTGTTATAGCATGTGCTATTGTCATTATAGTACTTACTTCAATAACTATTGTGTTTATAATTTGGTATTGTTGTTTTTGTAGAATAAAAAATGGTAAGCATATTGTTTATTTTATTTATGTTGTGCCTTTTTATAATTTATAATTACTTTTTTTTATTTAGTACAAAACAGTTGTGATGAAGAAGAACAAAGAAGCAATACCAACATACCTAGGTAATTTTGAATATGTTTTTAAAACATTTCATAATATGCATAAGTTATCAATAGTTTAACTTAATAGTTTTTAACACTACATTTTTATTGTATATTTTATGAACCATAAAACTTAAATGTGTGTTCCTTTAGTTAAATGTGTTAATTTTTATCTTAACATAAATTTGTAAAAGGATGTTCAACTATATCTTCAATGTGCGTTTTTAAATTATTTTATAGCTTAAGCCTTTAAAATACATAAAACCTAAATAAATCAGTATGTATTTGTATAAACTATTTTGCACTAAGTTGTTAATAATTAACCTTTATAATTATATAATGACTTTGTTCTACTGTTTTTTGAAGAGTATTATTATACTAAAAAAAGTTAATTTATGATTTGATTGTAAAAATATTCTCTGTATTATTACATCTATAATTTTGATCTATAAAAAAAGAATATAAATCATATAGGTTGATGCTTCATAGTAAACATAATGCTTTGAATGTTTAAAACTACAATTATATTTTTTTCATTTTAGTGCCTTAATGCCATTATTTTTTTTTTAAATAAATTAAGTTCACTTAATATACACTATAAAGTTAATAGCCTTAACTTGTTCAGTTATTTTGGCACTCATAATTGAACTATAAGAAATGGCCAGTAAGCGGCGATTAAGCATTATAATAATATATAATGCAAATTGAATTACATAAATAATTGTTAAATAGTTACATAAGTCACTTTAAACTTATCAAATGTTTTATTTTTCAGTTACTCCACTGTATTCCTAGACCCCAAAACTGGAAGTTTTATATATAGTAACCGTATAGTTGAGTTGTTCCCTGAAAGAGAAGGTTCTCCCGATCATTGGTTTTTCAATGATCAAGGAGATGAACCTGTTAGTACAAATACAGTACCTCGATCAGCCTCTGTACCACCAGCAAAGCAACTTCAGTCATTTGTATGTTTTATTAATGGATTTTTATAACTAACAGAACTAACAGTTTTCTTTATTTCAGGATCCTTGTATTCGTGAAATAAAAGAATTTATTAGCAATGAAACATTTGACGTACCTAATTTGCATTACATTGACAATGAGACCCAAAATGACCCTTGCCATTTGCCAAACGCTCTACCTCAGATCTCTGAATTTAATCCTCATCAATTTACTTCCAGCAGCAGTAAGTATTATGTTTGTTGTTAAGCTAAAATGTTTTTAACATGTTTTTTCTGACTTTTTTCGTTTATCATATATTTATTTTATTATATAATTATTAATTACTTATTACATTTGAATAACCTTCAGCCCATTTAATGTATAATATTCACAAGCGCGTAACTGCCGTAACATAAATTATCATTCAGCAGTTCACTTTTAGTTTTGTTTTTTTAAATTTTAGATTAGAATTTTCTTAAACATACAACAATATTCTGCGGTGCATGTAGTATTTATCTCTTTATTCTGGGCCAAAGTTTATTTGGATAAAACAATTTATTTAAATGTAATAAATAATTAAATCCTTCTGATATATTGTCCTTTATTGACGTAAAGTTGAAAATAGACTACTTATTTTTTTCACAATCAATCTCTGAATAATTGTTATTTTAATGTAACTTTAATATAAACGTGTACATAGTGGTTTCAAAAATAAACAACAACTAATTTAAATGACATTTTATTTAGTTTTGGAAAATTGCCATACATGTGATGGAAAATCTATAACACTGCGAACAAGAAGTCTTCCAACACATGTGAGAAACAAGAAACGGCCATTTTCAACATCTGACAATTTATCAGAGCTTTATGCTAAGGTATTTTCAATTAAAAAAAAAATGTGCAGTTTGCAGTTGCTGAATTTTTGTTGTGTTTATGTGATATGATTTTATGCACTTAAGATGTTAGTGAAATCAGAATTGATCTAATGTCAAGTTTTTTTTAAATATTTAAAATCGTATAATAATAATTGTTGTCTTGTACGCCTGCCTCTGTAACTGTTGCAGTCACTTATCTCAAAATGACTTGGCTCGATCGGCCATTATCCCTTTTAGTGATTTTAATATTTAATAAATATTCTGATATTTCTATCGTCTTAAGTACAAAAAGTACATAAATTTAACATCAAAAATAAAATGTCTAGATCAGAGGTTCTCAAACTATGGTATGCGGAAGACTACATTTCGGTATGCAAAAGATCACAAAGTGATAGAACAAAGAGTAAATAAATGAATGTTTTAAATTGTGTTTGAACATGGTCACATGGAAATAGACATAAGTGATACGCGACAGATTAATAATATGCAAAAAAAGTTTGAGAACCGCTGGTCTAGATGCGTAAATCATTGTGTAAAGAAGTGAGCAACTTTTACATGTGTAAGATAAGCAGTTGTATTTAGCCAGATCAAATCACATCACTCGGCTATTCGAAATACTTTTTATATCCTCAAATAATATTTTATTTGGAATTTTGACCAAGTTGTTTTTTATAGTTCTAACTACAATAAATAAATATTTAATTATAATTTTAAGAAAATATTTTTTTTGCATTGTGGCCTCTTTATGTGAACTATTTCATAATGGTTTTAATTTTTAATTTAAATTATAATAAAATGTTCAAAACTGAAAAAATCAAAGCATTGGTGATATAGCATTGACATCATTTAAGGGTTTTTTCTTAGATTTTAATATAACGTATATATTGAATAATTTTTTTCTTTAGGTAAATTTCAGTAAAAAAAGGAAAAATCGCATGAGAAATGATGAAGCTGCCATAATCGCCATGAGTAAATCCAGGAGCCAATTCCTCAACAACAAAGACACAGATATATTGGTTGACAATGAAGCAGTGATTGTTTACGACGAACGAACTGCTTTATAATAATATAATATTATGTGATATAACTGTAGGCTAATTGCGTTTAGAATCTCGTATGTGCTATGTATATTGTTATAATTGTTTCTCATATGAGTAAGGTTATTGAAATATATATAATAACAGTATGTTGAAGTTTAAATGCTGTGCGAGATAAACTATAAACTGCGTTCCACTAATTATATGTTGTATTTTATTATATTGAAAAATAATTGTTTTGAAACATTATATAATACACATATATTATTACACTAAATCAAATACCATTTTTTAAATCTGTATTATTATTATTTTTTTATCTTCCTTTATTGTTTTTATTATTATTTAATTTAATTATGTATATAATTGTCAATTGAATTAGTGAAGAGAAAATAAAGTAATAATAAAAAATTGTATGATTATTTTACAAGTCTATGCTGTGTTTTTGTATCAAAATTCATACTAGTATAGACAGTATAGTAGTATGCCCAAATAATTTAACCATTTAACAAGAATAGTTTTATAAAAGTAAATTAATGTTTTATTTTCATAGTTGTAATTGTAAACTTATTAAGGGGACGCTACACCCGCATGTGTTGTCTCCGTCTTACAAACGTAGAACATAGCAAAAACATATTTTGCGCGGGAAAGAACCGAGAAAGCTACAGTCATAATTAAGAAACGAAATTTTCACCACATAAAAAGGAGAACGTTGGCTGTGCAATGTCGTTTTTATATTTTCGATATCGGAAGTACAAAAAAAGTTATTCAAGTTTGAAAAATACAAAAACAAATGTATTTTGAAACAATAATAACTTTTTTCATATAAGTGATATCGAAAAAATAAAAACGATATTGCACAGCCAAAGTTCTCCTTTTTATGTGGTGAAAATTTCGTTTCTTAATTATGACTGTAGCTTTCTCGGTTCTTTCCCGCGCAAAATATGTTTTTGCTATGTTCTACGTTTGTAAGACGGAGACAACACATGCGGGTGTAGCGTCCCCTTAAAGATGAATCACTATACCACAAAATGTAAGTCTATCATTCAATAGTTAAAAAAAACCGACAGCAATTAGTTGAAGACCTGCAGATAGTAAGATGTATATGATTTTGTAATAATTATTAGCGATTAGCCTATCACTGGTCACGTAATGATTAATACTATTTTAGTCAAATTTGTCTATTCTATCAGTTTATAACCTTAAGCATCTATGTTCCAGTGCCCAGTGGGGCAGTCTGCCTACAATTTCAGGGTCAGCTTAATATATAACAGGCTCTTGAAAAAAATTTTTTATTATAAAATAATAATATTATTAGGGTTTAGAGGCTCTGGCATGATAAATATTAAAAATTAATTTATTCAATGATCTTGAAAAAGATAATTCAATTTGTTTTATTTTAGCCTTTAGGTAATTTGCTAAATTTTGTAATTCAGTTGTTTGTGTTTTTTTTTATCCATTTTTATTGAGCCAGAGGCAAGTCATTATTATTATTAAATGTGAATAAATCAATAAATGCACAGAGACACAATTATTATACAAAAATAACGGATAATGAGTTGTGAGTGTGTGCCAGTTGGTAGGGGAGTGGTACTTGGGTGATAACTGATTTTTTTCTCTTGCTGTACCATTTTTAGAGTTTAAACAAATAAATAAATTGAATAAATTGTACCCATAAATAAATATATATATAGGTAAAACATATAAATTTATTGTTATTCCTAAGATAATTACCAATATTATATAAAAAATGTTCTTGTTAAATTATGATAACATAAGTAAACATTTTTTTTTAGCTCATACCCAGCCCAAATACGTTTGTACGTCACAGTAGAACAGTATCAATGAAACATATTTTATATGCAATCGTATTTTCAAGAAGATCTAACATACACAATCTGATTTCATACTTATTGAGGATACCTAGATCAACTAGATTACCAATCAGACTGCAAACTTAAACTATATCAACCAGTATCAATTATTTAAAAAAATTATGTCTATATAAGTAGGAATTTGAAATAAATAATTCATATTTTTCAAATGTAATATAACTATGAATATTGAAGAGATGATTTACAGTTACAATAACTGTTGTCTATCATATAACGCCAGGAAATAATAATAAAAAAACTACAATTCTAAAAACGAACCAATCACACTTATCTGTGATTTCTTAGAAACCCCTGAAACTATTTTTATTTTTCACTTTTTCAGTACTTACCATTTAAGCAATTGTACTTAGTATAATAATTTGATTTGTTCCACCTCTATAGGAAAATCTTAAATTTTTCCACAGCGACTGAGATAGTCGATAGATATTATATTTATTTAGTTCTCCGTGAGTTTTTAGCAATTTAAATATGTACATTTTGCTATAACAGTACAAATAACATTATGTATGATTGTAAATTAATAATTTATTGTATAGAGATAAAAAAAAAAGTAAGGGGAAAAAGAGTGTGAGCAAAGTAAACAATTTTTTTGATTACCTATAGCAGGGATGGAAAATCTTTGGCACGCGAAAAGATTTTGAGGGTAAGCTGACATTTTATATAATAAATAATACTATAGGTAATAGGTAAAAAGCATGTGGCTTTTATCGGTTATTAATGATTAACTGATGAACGCAGTGCCGCATGTACTTTATAAAAAGTTACTAATTAATTATAAACCAAATATCAACAAATTGGCATCAAGTGTCCAACAACAAAAATCCCATCAAAATAAATAATTAACAAAGCAATATTATTATGATTATTATGTACCTAAACCAAAATTTTTACACAAATACATTAATTATACAATCATATTATAGTACAACAAAATATAATATTTTTAATATTTTTTTTCATGGCACACTCTAAAAAAAAAATAAAGGTAATTTTGGGCAAGCAGTATACAAAAGGTTTGCCATTCCTGACCTATAGGTATGCTATATGAAATTTCAAAACTTTTGCCCCACTACTAAAAACTGAAGTGAATCCACTGAATATGCCAAATTATTATTTCCAAAGGTATAAAAGTTTATTTATTTTTAACTAATTACTAATTTTCTAATTAACTTTAGAACTTGCTTATTTAAATTCATTGTCTGATAAAAAAAACTTAGCTTTTTTGGTTAAGTTAAATATAATTCATAAAATTATATTTTTTCTTTTATCTATTAATAAACAATATTATTGTACACAGTTTTTTAAATAAAAATAACTTAATACTATAATAATAGTTATGGTATAACACTATATTAATTTCAGTTCTGTTTTTTTAGTAAAATAATATTATGTATATTATAGACATAAAATACTCCTAATGTGGTCCACATACTAATTAATAAAGTAAATCAACATTTTTTAAACTAAGATTTTAAACATATCAACCTAAATTCTTTTCCATATTAACTTTAAACTTGGCAAGTTCAATTTATTATTTATTAACTATTAACTTCTAAGTGTAGAGCAGAGGACTAGTAGCTCTAAAAAAATCACCAAATATGCACTAAAATGTACAAAATATGCATTAAAAAATAAGATTAATTGTATGAATATATTTTATTTGAATTATGATGTCTGGGACCAACGTCCCCGTGGACCGTATTGATAATATCTTATGCAGTGAATATTATCGGTATAAAAATAAAATTAATAACCGTAAATAAATCTAATCAGCAATGCTCGAGACGAGTCTCTAGGAAAAACATGTGTGTGGGAACACTCAACAATAAAATTTCAAAACTAGCTTAGTTTCAGCATAAAATGCATTTGTTTCTGCTATTTTTGTGATTGTGCAAAACAAATATGCAAATGCTACAAGTCCTCTGCCCCACTTCTAACTAAACAACCTCGTGTTCATTTAAATAAACTTGAGATAATTATTTTCATTAACTTGATCCTCGTTGATTATTTCTCGGTGGACCTATTGGCCCAAGTTCTGGATGTTTGGTAGGTTAGTAGGCCATTTACCACTGATAAGGTCCTCATCAGTTACATAATATCATCTAAAAATGATTGTTTATTAAAATATTGTTGTATGGAAGTTTTAGTCGACTATTGATTGTCAATACCTGTCTAATGTTAATCCATACTTACACAAAACACAGTGAGATGTTTTCTACCCACTACAATAATAATACAATTTTTATTGTTACATGAATGTGACAAGATAAATATTTAAATAAATTCATTTTAATATAATTACCTAACATAAGTTGCATAATAACTAATAAGTGTTTTGGTAATTTCAAATATGCAATTTTCAGTTGCACACTTAGACCAGAAATCCAAATGGAACGTCAATGTTTGAACATCACAGTACTTTTATTATGACATAAAACCACTTTGAAATAATTTTTTTTCAATCAATATAAGACATAACAAGTTCATTTATGTAGGTATTATTGTTTTAAATAAATTAAAAATTAGTAAAACAGTTATCTTGTAATTTTTTATAAGCTTCTAGCATCCCTATCAATATATATAAAAATATAAAAATTAGTGTACATTTTGAATAAATTTTATAACTCAAGATATACAAAACCAATTTCAATAAAAATTTCAGGACATATTATTAAGATTAGTATGCAGATGGTTTCTGTGAAGTTTGTACGCCGTGCGATAAGTGGTTTTGGAGTTATGGCCTCTTAATGTTTCGCGGTATGCGTTCACTTCGTCCGCCGAATACATAAAGTAAATTTTAATAGAAAACAATAGGTAATCAATGAACGATGACCAGTTATGCCATAGATGTACTCCAATATATACTGTTGGGCAATACAATTACGTGATCGTCGGCCCATATTCTGTCGCCGTGGTCGTGGCATTTTTTACAAATAAAAATTTTTTACGAATAAAAATCAATCTGTATTGTTAATGTATTAATATGGCCATACGAATAAATAAATAAATATGATGAAATAAATATTACAAACTAAAGAACAATGAATAATTACGTATAGTAATTTATAATAGGAAACAAACCAATTAACGATACCATGGATGTATATAATAGTTATTGGAGTACATAGTATAAATATACTATATATATAGTCATAGGCGTGTCCAGACCTCATTCGTAGTTCATGCACAACTGTGGAATATCCAGGAGAGAAAAATTACACCCCCCTCCCACGCCAATAAAAAATTCTGTTAGGGTATTGGGATATGACCCCCGAATTTAAAGATTTTAAATTAATTATTTTAATTTAGATCAAATTTTGCAGGTCATGCCTGTGCGGCTGTGCATGACAGGCAAGACCCGTGGACACGCCTATGTATATAGTATACTAGCTGAATTACCCGGCGTTGCCCGGGAAAAACTCCTTTTAGGTGTAAAACGCTGTGAAAGCAATGTCTTTTTAAATGTAAATTATATGATATTTTTAAATGTAGCCACATCAGTCTAGAATTGAAGTAGTGTTGTTTGGACACCCCCTTCCATAAAGCCGTCCAATTTTTGTAAATTAATAACCATATTACTTATTGTTTAGTATAATAGCTGGTTTACCCGACTTAGCCCGGGAGGTATTCAACTATTTTATATAAAAATAATGAGGATGAAAAAACTACTATTTTCTTATATTGTACCTTTTTTATTTATTAATTTATATAATATAAAAATAAATATTACTATAAAAATAAAAAAAAAAAAAAAAAAAAAAAAAAAAATATAAAAAATTCAAAAAAAAAAGATTTAAAAACGAACAAATAAAAGAAAAAAAAACAAAAAAAAGAACGAAAAAAAAACAAAAAATAAAGAAAAAAAAAAAAAATAAAAAAAAAAAAATAAAAATTAATAAAAAAAATAGAAAAATAAAAATAAATAAAAAATAAATTAATAAATAAAAAAGGTACAATATAAGAAAATAGTAGTTTTTTCATCCTCATTATTTTTATATAAAATAGTTGAATACCTCCCGGGCTAAGTCGGGTAAACCAGCTATTATACTAAACAATAAGTAATATGGTTATTAATTTACAAAAATTGGACGGCTTTATGGAAGGGGGTGTCCAAACAACACTACTTCAATTCTAGACTGATGTGGCTACATTTAAAAATATCATATAATTTACAATTAAAAAGACATTGCTTTCACAGCGTTTTACACCTAAAAGGAGTTTTTCCCAGGCAACGCCGGGTAATTCAGCTAATTAATATATTAATTGAGTAAAATTGAGAATTTCTAATCACACAACTAATGAACTATAAAAAATAGATGGATTAGTCCTATATTTTTAAGTTAACCTGGGTACTCGCAGAAGCAATGCAAACACAGTTTATGCAGCGCTGTCAGACAAAATAGAAAAAAAAAGTTAACCTGGGTAATTTTAAATTTATTAATATGATATGTAACATCTTCAAAATGTTTAGAAAAGCATTCCACAAAAAAAACTAGTTAAAATGAATCCATAAAAAAATATTATTTACTTTGTAACATTAAAATGAAAACATTTAAAAAAATAAGCAGTGGATTTCTTTTGTTATATGCATTTTTAATCTTTCTTAGTACTTTATTCAAGCACTGAATATAAGTAGTAGGTATGGAAAAATCCCAGAAACAAAAACAAACAGCTAGTAAATAAAAATTATTTTTAATTATAAATGTAAATAAATTGAAACACATTATTTTATGGTGAACTGTGAAGCATTGACGTGCGATTAGATTTAAAAGATTATTTTATTATAACTGAATAAAAAAACAGTTAACTTTTCTGCTTAGAAATCATTTAATCGAATTAATTGTTTTTTAATTAAATATTTGAACATTTCATATTTACATTTTTTCAATGCAAGTCATATTTCGTTAAGAAACTAGTAAAGGTTTAAAAATGAAGTATTTTGTTAAATACTCATTATTAGTACAAGATGTATAATAAGTATGGGTTTTTATTCAATATAAGGATAAATGTAATAGAAATCAACTGTAACAAATACATATAATAGATATATAAAGAGAATGACAAAGCTTAACATTATAAACTCTGTCTTATATGATTGTATTAAAATAAAACATGCACTTAAAATTAAATTAGATGTTATGTTTATTATTTAATAAACTTAATTAGGTAGTAGGGTCTTTGTTATTAACTACATTAATAATATAGAATTCCAATGATGTCACATTATGTTCAACCAAACTATTTGGATACAAAAAAAAAAAAATGATATAATTTTAACTACTCATATAATAAATAATAATTATAATGTAAATTAGACAACAGAACAACTATATATTTTTTTCATTATCTAGTAAAACCACTCATTACATTTTTTTACTAATAAATTAGGAGCCAAACATAATATTTTTTACACATAGTTTATTCAAATAAAGACTGTTGGTTCCTACATTTTTTTTTATAACAAAAACATAATAATAAGCAGCAATTGTTTTTTAAAAAAACTGCATATCCAATATTTCTGCCAATTAGCTTACACTAAAATACTTAATTAAAACCACACACCTATTGTCATGTAAATAGTTATCAAACATTTCCACTGAACTTTTAAATCATAGTTTTACTTAAAATAAAATGTATAAAATACCTATTGCTCTTAAAAAATGTTTAAATGATTCTTAGTTATTGTACAATGTTATTATGAATTTATCATGCTATAGTGATCATATATTTTGAAAACCTTGAGAGTATTAAGTACCGACTGTTTTTTAATGAAAAATACCTATATTTTGTTTATTGCATAGTTAAAATGAAATGAAATCTAATTAAACTCATGGAATTAAGTGATATCATTAGTGCAACATTTTAAATGTAATTTAAATATTCTACCTAAATTTTATTTTAAAATGAAAAAAATTAAGAATTTTTAGTGATATTACTGAACTGAAAAAACAAACCATAAAGTATTATCAATCTTGAGTAAACTAAATAAAGAATTTAAGTGTTTTTGAGACTTTGCCAGTTACATTGCAAGTTCTGTTAGTATGATGGACAAAATGTAAATGCTTTTAGTAAAAAGAGACAAATATTACATGTTGACTACAGATAGATGACATGTAAGTGCCCCGCTGTCTCTTTTAACTACCACTTAACATATTATATTACTCAGATATTCCTAGGTTAGAAAATTGTCTTAATTAAACTTAAAAACAGTTGGTACCTATTAAAGGTTAGGTTATCCTGATCTCTAAATACTACAATATGTGTGTTTAAAATAAAAGTATAATATATTTTGAATGAAAAACAAAAATTATAATCCTAAAGTTGAATAAATTAATTGGTACTTAAGGTAAATTATATTCAATGTATAAAGAAATACTAATATTTACTCATCAGTGAAATTTCCTTAAAAATAAATCGCACGTTTGAGCTGTTTTTAGATTTAATAAGGTTAATATTGGTCATTTTGAGTTGAATAAATTAAACTAATGGAAGGAACATACTGTATCATAGTCTATTCAGTTTAAAAATGGTTAGTTAAGTATATCTAATGAGTTCGAGTTGAAGTTGGCTATGATCCTACTAAAATTATTTCCGGAAAACGATTAGCGGGTGAGTAAAAGTAGCAGTGTTGGTGCCGATATTGAGGATAAATGCACCGTTTCAATGCCTTTTCATCTGTCTGACTAGCCTTCCATAAACTGAATAGAGTATAAATAAAACTAGTATGGATCTATAATTTAAGTTATTTTATATTTAATTTTTAATATTGCAGAAAACTGCTAAATAGTACAAAAAAAAACAAAAACCGAATACACTTATTATAATATATAGATATTAATAAATTTAATATACTCTGTCCAGCAAGAGAACAAGGCAATTCTCGAAACAACTATAGTAGGGTATTGGACTGCAGTGAACAGAAGAAACAATTTTCATTGGACTGCAGAGTTTTATCACGCTAGACAGAGTTTAGAGATACTTATAGACAATGACACACTTAAGTTTACCTTGTTTAAATTTTAATCATATTTCAAATAATTATGTAGGTCCTAAGTTGATACACATATAATCTTGTTAATGTTAAGTGACCTATTCATTTCTTGTAATACGATAGTATTCTAAATATCATTTGTCTGGAGTTTCGAGACCAGCGTGGATCATCAAATCGGAAATATTCTTCTCTAAATCATCGATACGTGCACCCATATCATCTAGTATTTATTAGTTAAGAAACAATAACATCATTTTTACTAAATTAAACTTAGACAAAGTCAAATAATATATTTCTTTTAAGTTCTAGGTAGTTGAAAAAGGATATTTCTCGACAATATTTGATCAGACATAGTTTGGAATTTGTCTTTCATATCTTGTAGAACAAGTTGAATCTGAAATAAAATATACACTACATTAAAATGTAATTCAATAATCAGGTAAGCAATAGGTACAAAATAAATTATACTGGTAATTTTTCTGTAAAAATAATAAACATTTATTAAATTTAGATGTACCTACCTACATATGAAAGGAAAAAAGGAAAATAATACAAGATGAATTGTGTTACCATGCTTTAAAATTCTCAGCATAATGTATTACCTATTGTGTTTAGTAGAATTAAAAAAAATCAAGCGTGATCAGTTTGCATGTGATTGTAAGAAAACTATCAAAAAAATTCTTAATAGATAAAAATTGTATTACAAAGAAATTAATAGTCCTTTACAAAATTTTTTATAATGTATTATTTGCCTTTTATCTAGGGCATAATGTTATGATTCTTATACTCACCAACCTACTTAATTTATTTATAATAGAAAATAGATAATGTATACTATCAATGAATGTTTAAAAATATATAATTGTTGGTCTATTAGAAGTCAAAGATTATCAAATTGTTATTTAAAGTAATTAATAAGAATTTAAAAAAATTGTATGGATATAAAAATGAAAGGTTTCTATTAAAGTGAGATTAATAATACACATTTTCAATAATAAAGCATACTTTGCTTTGTAGTTAGAAGGTTAACACGTTGACTGCCATGCAGTAGCCGGCGTTTGTATAAAAATAATCAGGTATTGATAATTTTTAGACCGCCGGCTGCCGCACCATATCATTCGTAGGAGGCGATACGGCCGAGGGCTGCTGTAAATTAATTTAGATTTATATTATTAACTTTTCCGTGGCGCTACAATAATGATCTAGGAAATGTGCTGTGGTGTGGCGGGAATAATTGCAATTTTTGGATGTATAAAACACTTTTTGTTGTATTTTTAATTTTTTTTCAAATTCAATAGTATGCATACAAATTTATAATAACACTGAAAAATGAACTTGGTGTTAAATAATAAATATTCTTGAGGCAGCCAGCGGCTGCATGGCAGTCAACGTGTTAAAAATGTATTTTAATGTTACTGTTTCCATATTATGGAGGTCATAATACATATTTATAATACAAGGTATTTCAGAAAGAAGTATGCTATTACGAGTATATGAACAAAAATGCCAACCAAAAATTGTTATCAGTGAATCTTAATCCATTTCTAGCTACAACAATTGTTGCAGTATGCTATTATTTGTGAATGGCAGGACTGAATCATACATTTTTTGTCAAATAAATTATTACATTCATGATTAAATGAAAAAATCCCCCCAAATAATTATAATATAAGACATAAATATCAGTCGTAGAATGTTGTTATCTGCATAATTCAAATGGAAATTATCTTTATTTTAATGTCTACCATTCTACTGTAAGAAAATTAAAGACATGACTCGAAACAATATGGTTTTTTTAGGAATAGGAACACAGACTACCCGCAAGTGAACGTTGTAGGTGTTTGATCAACACAAATTAACACCTATCATCATTAACTTATGTTGTATTTTAACTTTTAGTAAATAGGTAGTCATACTTAGTCGATCAGTCAATATATTTTCAAAGCCAATGCTGAATGTTGGGACTTTGAGCGTCTAAGCAGAAGCAATCTCAGAGTTAAAATATCAGAATAACATAATAGCTGGTGTTATAGTATAAATGATTCACTGCACGGCATACGACTAAAACGAGAGCGAGTCCGAGGGTTTACACTCACATTGCAGTAAGGCAAACGCAAATGAATAATATGGAATAGCCTGATACCTATCGTCGGTATGGTTATTGTTTATTTTATTAAAAATAATAAACTGGTAAATACATATAACCCAGTGCCGCAACTACCGGGGGTGCAGGGGGTGCATTGCACCCCCAGCAGAGAATTTAGAGGGCCCCAAAGGGGCCCTCTTTAAATAATTGAAAAAGACTTAAAATTATTACATAGTAAATTAGAAAATAATATAGATAATAATATGTGTCTAATGTCTATACTCTATAAATAAAATATATATTATGTTCTGTAGCAACAATCATGTTACCAGTTAAAGCAGAATCAGTAATAGTTTATTTCTAATAAACCAGGAATATATCAATTAGTTAAAGTTATTATAGTACCTATTCTAGAAATTTAAAAATTTTTTTTTTTTCATTTGCATATGATTAGTTGGTGAATTGGATTTAAAGTTGGAGTTTCCAACAGATAGAGGACATTTTCAAAATATCACAATCAGTTCTAATTTGAAAAAACAAATTCTATCATATGGTCCTTGCAAACCGTCAATAAACTTTCCTTCGGACATAATTTTTAGTGATGAAAATGAAACTATGAAATCTAGCAGACACTTTTTTATCATTAGTTGATACTGCTTTATTTCAACTCGAAGATCGTTTTAAAGGACTTAAAGTAGTATCAAATACTTTAAATTTTTTATTGCCACCAAATATAATAAAATTAAATGAAGCAGAAATAGTAAAATCATGCTATGATTTTATTCAGTTTTACAAAACTGACGTAACTTCCGATTTAACTAGTCAAGTTCTATCTTTAAAGGAATTTATAAAAAACACTGATATGAAAACAATTAAAGAATTATGTTTATATTTAATAGAAAACGACCTATCATCTTTGTATAGTGAAGTTGTTACATCTTGTATTATATTTTTAAGTTTACCAGTGACTGTAGCATCGGCCGAACGGTCATTTTCTAAACTTAAACTGATTAAAAACTATTTAAGAAACTCGATATCTCAAGACCAACTAACAAACATAAGTATATTAAATATAGAAAGAGCTCGCACTGAAGAACTTGATGTAGAAAAATTAATTATTGACTTTGCCAATCAAAAAAGCAGAAAAAAAAATTTTTTAAAGTAATTTTAATATTATAAATATGTTATTATTTTTGTAATGTAAATGTTTTTATCTAATGTAAATTTGTATTTTTTTAGTTAAAAATAAATTTAAATTGTGGTGGATACTTAACGTTTACATATATAAATATATTTTTCATGAAAAAATGTTGTAAAATATTGGTAAGTAAGGGGCCCTATTATTTGGTATTGCACCTCGGCCCTATTAACCTTAGTTGCGGCACTGATATAACCCTTTGACAAGGTTGTACGTTGATGTGAGCACTAGTCTCAGTTCGACAGCACTAGTAGGTATACATGTAAATTAAGATAATATAAAAAGTAACATATATGGGTACGCAACACTCACTTGACTGTTCATCTCATCAAACGCACGCTTGTCAATGTTGTCGGCGTCATCGCCTCTAGTGTCTCCGTCTTCTGGCTCGTTCAAATCCTTGGCAGTGTAATCGTTCATCTTGCCGGCGTTTAATCCGTTGGTTTCAAATATGGTAGGTACACTGAGGTGCGCTATCAGTTCGCTTCTGAGCGTAGGACGTCGTCGAACGATGCCCGCAATGGCTGTACACTAGACAAATGACGATGACGGTATGCGAGTGAGTGTGTGTGTGTGTTGGTGTGCAACGAAAAATAAAAATATATAAGCTGGACGAGTGAACGACAATATTAATTAGTACATCATATTATTATTAGTCACCTAATCATGAAAACGTTATTTTATTATTATCATTATAAAAGCAAATATTCTTTGAACGATACTATAATAGTGATGATAGTATTTTGATAAAAGTATTATGTGTAAACGGTATGGATCGTGCCGCGCACCACAACAATAAATTATTCATTGTCAACGATAGTATGAACCGTGATAGGCGTGGAGATAGCAATGTGACCAATGACGTCGCGCGCGCTCCTAAAAGCACAGTTGCGCGCTTTTTCAAAACGGACTCGTTCAATGGCTGTCGTGAATTATTATCCATTACGTTTATTTTTTTTCCAATATAAATATAGATTTGGGATTGAAAATGAGTTTATTTTGTTCTCGATTTCAACAGGTACCTTATACACAATATACAATGGATTGAACACATTACGATTATTGTATGGTAACCAGTATAATACTAGCTGGTACCCTCCTGCGTCGACTGCCAACCATTAATAATTGAAAACTGACAAGTCGTCATAAATCGTATTGTGTACACCATTCATGAGTACTATCTTTCATATGCTTTATAGTACCGAACAGTTAGTAGTTAGGTATAGTTGTGTAAATGTTATTGAAAACAATTAACTTGACTTAGGTCTTTCAAATCAACCGAAAAAAGCAAAGTTGCAATCATAATGGATTCATTATAATTATTTATATTATTAAGATATTTAGAAATTAAATAACCAGATAGTTAAACATTTTTAAAAAAATACCTTTTTAACTTAGCTTTAAGTATTTGCCTACCTAGTTAATATCCATCTTTGCAGGTAAGGTACTTAATTATACTGTATTGTAAACATATTACATAGTATACTGCCATAGAACATTACCTACCTACATTACAATATTCTCCGTCTCGTTAGCTCTATTGCTGTATTCAGTGAAGTAGCTATGAGAGTGCAATGGGTGCCCCTCTCCCCCCTTGGATTTTTTTGTTGGTAATGTTTTAATCACTGTTATAGCCTATATTACTAATAAAATAAAATAGTATTTAAATACCCTCCCCCCACTTGACAGAGCTCTTGCAGAATGCAGCTATGCTGCTGGCTGTATTAACCATATTTAAAATAACATAACCTTTATTGTCAACCTATAATCAATAACAAGCCGATTTATAATGCCGATTTTACAAAGGCATGCGCGGCTGTCTATATTGTTTGAAAATTAGGTTAGACCTTCAAACGCATCTAAAAGAGTTGGCAGATAACTATAATTTGAATAAATAATAATATTATTCAGCCGTGCACGCGCATGATGCGGCCTATAGGCTTTAGCAGGTCACGCGAAGCTGTAGTTAGTCTGTAATGTGTCGTAATTACGCTTAAAAATCAATAGGTTATAGGTACCTAATAATGTTTGATACCTTGGTAAGTTTAGATAGGTACCTATACTGGGCTATACTGATGTCTGATACCATGCGACAACTTTTAAATTAGGCACTTACCTAGTGCCCACTATGACAATTTTTTTATCTAAATATTTGTAATAAACGGTGGAATTGTAATTTATCTTAATATTTCGTTGAACGAAAAACCCACTGAGGCTTACGAAAGCGGCACGAAAGCCATAATATAATATGTAGGTACAGGGCTGTAACTGGAAATTAATTTTGGGGGCTTGTAAGATTACACATTTTGGTGGTAATGTATTTTATGTATAATATTATCAAGACATATTAACACAAAACATTTCTGGGGGGTGACCCCCCAGCTGCGGCCTTGGGTAGGTACCTACTACCTAGTATGGCGGTTCCCAGCCTATGGGCCGCGGCCTACTTGTGGGCCTCGAGCAGCGTGATATTGGGCCGTGAACCATATAAATATATAATATTTAATTTTAAATATTTTTAGTACATGCCCAATAATATTTCTGGTTACAATAATATTTATCAATATTATCTACACTCCGCAGTAGTGTTAAATTAGTGTCAAATAATGAAAAAAACGATAAGTATAGGAATAAACTGAACGTTGAAAATGATTTAATTCTAAAACTATCTAGTTTTCATACCGATATTGATTCTCTCGTGAAGGACAAGTAATGTCAAAAATCACACTAAATTGTTTAACTTGTGATTAAGTTTAATAAATTGTTTTCGTGATAAACAATTGATTTTGTAATTCTTTTTAGTCCTAACAACTGACGTTTGTATATGTTACGGTGAAAGATGTAAACGTGGTAAAAGACGTCATTCCCCGGTAAATGACATCATTTACCTAAAAATTGGTAAATGTTGTAAATGCAGACATTCCCCGGTTATTGTCGTCAATCACCAGTTTAGTTGGAGAATGATGTTCAATACTTTTATGTCGGTGTGAACGAACAGCGATAAGCGTGTAGGTGCCAAATAAGCTTCGTTAGTTAAAAATATCATGACGGAAGTAGATAGATAAACGAAAATCCCAACAAGCAATAACGTCGATAACCCGAGTAATAATATGATATGAAGACATTATAAGACATTTAAGATGACATGTATAAATTATGTAAGCCAATTTTAATTTGATAATGTTTATTTAATTTAAAATGAAATAAATACCCGAATGTTTGAATCAGGTACAGAATATGGGGTGTTGAAACACAAATATACACGAGCACAAATTTCTCCGTGTAAAGAAAAATTTCTAGAGCTAGATGAAGCCATGAAAAAAATTAAAGACAGGGAAATAACATTACGAGAAGCCGCAGGACATGGAATAGCTGGTCATCAAGGATTTAATCGATGCAACTGTAAAACTGGTTGTGGAACTAAAAAATGTGCTTGTAATGCAGCAGAAATGTTGTGCAGTTCAAAATGTCATGGTAACCAAAATTGTACAAATAAATAATTTATAATATGTACGTATTTCATTATTTTTAATTAACTTATTATCCCATTCAAATAAATACCTAAAATAAAAAATGAATTACCCACCAACAATGAATCATTATTATAAGTAGTACCTATGGTAAAAAAATCAGTGTATTATTTGAGATTTATCATCATTTACCACCAGTTTTGGTAAATGACATCAATGGCCGGTGAAAGATGTACATTTGAATTTATAATCTGGTTTTTTACACCATTTACCTACATAATCAAATCATTTTGGTAATAGACGTCATTCACCGGAGAATGACGACATTCACCAATATTCATCTTTCACCGTAACATATATACATTATACATTTATACATATTACATATAAATGTATATATATATACATATATTTCTGCATTCGTATATATAGGTGACCTATTTGTGGGCTTCAAAGATTTTTTTATAAAACTGGTGGTCCGCACAGCTAAAAAGGTTGGAAACCGCTGACCTAGTACATATTATATGTACGTATACGTAGTTTTGCGAAGATATAACGAAAGTAAGCGGTTTACTGACTCTTTACTCATATTACATGATATGTATCATGTATATTGTACTATGACTATTTAGTATAGCACCTACCTATACATAATATGAATTTTGTTCATCGCCGCCAAAACGAAAATATATTATCAAGGGTACTTACTAGAAACACTGAGCCATTGAAAAAGTCGGTTAGCCGATTATCGACTGGAGAAAATATTTTAGTAAACTGTTTGCTCTCGGTACCTTCGTGAAAACGATATGTTATAAGACGTCTCATAAAAATATGTACGAGAAAAATTTTCTTTCAAAACACGGTTGCGCAAGAAGAAAAATAACTATATTTGTTGGTACCTAGGTATTTAATGAAATTTAATATATTGTACCTTATGACCTTATGAGTTATGATTGTACGTATAATATGGATATTTTTGCAACTTATATTAACAAAATCAATTAATACTTCGAGAAAAAATGTTTGGTATAATAAATTACTGAATTGTTGTACGGGAAAACATTACAGAATAAAATATGAATTACAGTACCCGTTGCCATTTTGTGTCACTAACCCCGAACCCCCCTGGGACATATCATAATTTATTAATAGTGATTAATATTAATCGATGCTATATATAATAATTAATAAATATTAAATAGTCGTCGTACTACATAACTGACCTTGCCGGACCGCAAGTTTCCGATGTTTAAATAGGTATTTTATATATTATATATATTATATGGGTATCTACTTATTGTATTATACGTAGTATCGAAATTACCTATATGATAAGATAGGTGCTGTCTGTACTGATATCATATTATTATATTATACCTATATATCGGTTGTGCAGTAGGTATTTTCTCTGTTAATCTCTAGTGTCTGTTAATCGTCTGATAATGTCGACATTACATTAAACTCGCAAACTAAATTTATCCGGTTAAAACCGTGTCGGCACGGCACCGGCGACACTAGCACAGGTGGGTATAATATGTAATTTAATATCGTGCCGCCAGTCCCACGCTCAGTACCTACCTGTTATAATACTGGTTACTGTATAGACTAATATTTTCAATAATTTCAATAAACATTGAAATTATAAGTCGCACTGTTATACTCCTAAATTCGATATTATAATACGCGTTATAATATTAATAAATTAGTAGTGATCTTTGGTTTTTTTCTTTACCTCTCAAATATCAACATGGTCAGGACCAAGCAATCAGTGAGCTATAAGAGTAAGTGACATTATTTAAAACGAATTTTTACCTTTTTTGTGTAATATAAAAAATTAATTAACAATTATTAATTTATAATTATAATATTTATATTAAAATTAATTTTTTTTCGCTCATCTAAGTACATTTTTTGGTAATTTTTTATGTTCATTAAAATCTAAGTTTTAATAATGACTATTACCTAAATAATATTTTTGAGTTTCATTTTTACGAATTAATCGTTGGTTGGATCATGAGCGGCAGCAAGGGTGTGCCGGGGGTGGCAATGTCCCCCTCTGTTTTAGTTGATATTAATTGTTTTATCACTTGTAAAAACAGAAAAATAGTATGTTCTGTATTCTCAGAGATTTTTGACTTTGGCCGAGCTCTAACCCCCCCCCCCCCACTAATACTTTATATTTATATGGAGGCCTTAAGGTTGAATAATATTTACATATCTCATACCCGATCATTCGTACCTCATTGTCCACGAATTCTAAGTCTGTAAAGTAATTATTTTAATAATCATTTGACAAGTCTTTCCTAACAGAATTGCCAAGCAGACATTTGTTTTGAGCAATATGCAAGTTCTTTAACTATAAAATGCAACAGGGATAGATTAATTTTGCTATAGAAGGTATTGAGCAAAAGTGTAAGACCAGTTTATAAACTGTTTAAAATTTCCAAAAGTCCGTGTTTTATTTCTTATTTTGATGTGTTATAGCAGGTGCCAGGTAAATACTCATAATATTATATCAGTTATTAGTTTATTACATTGCTATACGGTATACCTTATATATATATATGTATACTTTTAGGCGTTTGTTATTTTTATTTATTGCTTGCCGTGGTTGCCTTTCGATTGACAATTTAGATAATACTTACATAATATTGTGCGATAACGAACGGAAAACGATTCTCAAATTCAATTTTATGAGTTTAAAATATCCAAAATATCTACTGCAGTTGAATTTCTCGCTGTTCATCTTAAACACATAAATACATAACCATTTAAATATTTTATGAAAATTAATTATTCAATCCTTAAATAATATTTACATAAATTCGCCATATAGATTGGCTATTGTAAGTTTTGAGAAATCGCTATGTAACATACATTTATTTTTCTTATTTTGAGTAAAGGGACTTCAAACAAATTGGGCAAGTCATTCCCTGAAATAATGTGTTTCGAGTGTACTTCGTCAATGAGTTAGTCAACTAATAAAGTGTTAAATTTGAATCTATTCATAAATCATTGAACCATTCAGTCAGAAAAATGATTCTGATTTCTATTTCTAATGATATTTAGTAGCTTATTGACTATATTAATGTACTAAAATAATACGACATAGACTATTTACTTCGGGGCAAACTTTAATTAAAAATTTTGGTAAAAATTAAAATACAGGTGAAAATGTAATAAAAACAAACAATATGTTTGATGTAGTTGACTACCAAATACAAGTTTAATCCGTAAATCGCAGAGATTTTTCCCAATAACACCCCCTTTACAAACAAGCAGGTAGGTAAGACAAATTAATTTAATACACATAAAAACTAAAAAGTCATCAAATAAAATTAACATAATTTAACATGAAATTAATATGACATTTTGTAGAAATATAACTAACAGAATTCACGGTACCTACTATAGTGTTTAATGTCTACATTAAGCATTAAATACACTGAACAAAGGTAATTAGATAAAATTACCAATTTTCTTTTTGGTTCATCGAAACATCATAACGCATTAATATGATGAATACGTAATGAGTCAAGAAAAGTCGAATGTAACATTTTAAAATATGCTTTCGATATGAAATTACTTGCTAGCTATAAAAACTGGGTGCATTCGAATAGAAAATCATTTTTCTGCCTCACGTTTCGCAGACGTCGTTTATACTTGGAATCGACTTTTTTTCAAACGTGGTGCATTTACAATATAAATGTTTTTGATTTTGAAAGTAAATTTGTTGCTTTATTTGCAGTATGGCGTCTGGCTAATACTGAAAAATATAACGGTATAGAATTGAATGCAATTTTGCAGATATCATAATAAAAATTATATTTTAGCGAGAAAATACAATTTTATTATTATAGCTTAAAATCATTAAAATGATCATTTATTATGAAATTATATTTTCATATACTTTTTCGGACTTCGGATTACTGTATTTTAAGTCGTAAACTATTAATTTCAATTTCATTGTGTTAAGAGGGAACAGTCTGTCGGTCGGCCTATATTTCTAATAATACCTATTTATATTACTTTTAATAATTCATTTTTCAATTAAATACAAGTTGAACTAATTTTTTTTTCGAAAACAAATTACGTATAGTATTATTTATGTAACACATAATTATTTAAATATTATTTTATTTACCTAATAATACTATTTTCTATATCTATTACATATCTATTCTATTCTATAGCTGTTATTAACTTATAATTTAATACTGAAAAACGGTGTTAATATCTTAAAATAAATCTAAATATGTTGAAAATTTCATTAGACATAGTAAATAATAATATACATTAGCAATTATGAAAAGTTTCATTTCCTTACGAATAATATTTTTTAAATTAAAAGAAAACAATTCAAATTGTTAGCATTTAACTTGGAATGTGTGTGTATTTTTGAGATTTTAGGTTTCTGTAAGAAAATTCACCAAAAACATTATAATAATTATTATCAAAGAATTTTGTTCTTGAAATTAAATATTTTACACATTTAATTATAAAATACTTTTCAAATATTCGTGATTTTAACGAATTTTGTTGAAATTTAATCTTCAAACGAAAATAAAAATTGAAAAGACTTGTACTTATGCATTTATGGTAAATTTTAACTGTTATAATTGTAACTTATGAGGAATTTTTGCTTACATTTTCAAGATTATTAATTCAACATGACAATTGTTTTTAATATTTATATGAAAAACCTATAAGAAGAATCGTTATATTATACATTATATATAGAAAATGATTACTAAAAGAAAGTTAGAAAGTTTCAAATTTCTATGAATAATATTTTTTTAATTAAAACATAACATTGAAAATCATTTGTAGAGAAATCGTTATTTTACATGTTAATATCAGAAATGTTGTCAACATTTGAACTTAGTAATCGCTAATCACTCATAGATAATATTGTTTGTAAATTGTTTGAAAATTTCAAATGTTTATGTTTATATTTAGCGTTAGGGACTTTTGGATTTTTCAAGTTTTTAATATTCTTTATTCAAACATAGTTATTCGTGATATAGGCATTTATTTCATAATACCAGGAGTCTTAGTAATTTCTTTGCGTATTTAACTGTTTCATATTTTTCTTTTTTTGTGTTGTAAATTATAACACAAAAATAGAAAAATATATTGAAGATTATCTAGGTGACGCCTGCAACACACAATGAAACACACATGACACATCATGGTAAAAGCAATACATTCATCGCTCTGCTCAAAATTAATCTATAAATGTGTTCTTCGGTCGTGCCATTAGTGCCATTGTATATTTTATGGATAATTCGAAAAATTTGTTTGAGTGAAGAAATAAAAACATTTTCGTGTTCATAGAATAGATTGTCGACATGTGTTCGCGAATGTGTAAAACAGTGTTCTGCACGTACACATAGACATAGTAATAATAACAATAATAATAATAGCTTATATCGGTATAGATGTTCAACTGGTAACTTCTAAGCATCCTAATCTCAAATATCATTATAATATACTTTGTTATCACTTGTCAAATTAAATTGTGAAGAATATTTTATATAGGTAACTTCGCATAGTATATAATAATATACGCATTCGGCCGTTGCGGTAGTTGTAAATTATTACCACAAGTGTAGGTATATATTAACTTCTATAGTATGCAATACAAAACGGGTCACTATGTAATAATTTTTTTTAAACATTTGTGTTTTGACATGGAAAAATCTAGGTGTGTATATTAATTTATATTATTTTATATTATATATTATTTTCATTATAGAATTAAAAAAAAATTAATAAATACATTTTTAAAATAGGTACTAATTTTATTTAATAATTTGCGAAAAAATGTCGTATTAAAAAATTTAACTTGTTCAACACTGTACCTATTGCTTTTTAAATTGTATTAGGTACTTTAATTTCAGTTTGTGAAATGACTGACAAAAATAACTAACAAAATTATAATTAGTAATTATTAATCTTTATTTATGTTAGTAAATTTCTTTGTAATTAATCATAATATAAGTTATTCATTGATTGTATACAGAAATTCAGTGTACAGTTGTTAAGCTTAAGGTCAGAATTTTTTTTCATCGACCACGCCGAATTATATAGGTGATAAAAATGTTGGAGGATGCATTTTAGAATTTTTTGTTGATACCTATTTAATTTATAGGGTATTAGAGAACTTATTTTGTGAATTTGATTTTGTTCGTTTCCTATAACAGTAAAAATTATTTATTGTATTAAACGATCATATTATTATTATATTATAATTATATTATTATTATATTATTTGGCTATCATACATCGATTAATACCATGTTATAAAAATAAAATGATCTATGTATAGAATATGAAATGCATACAAATATAAGGGTTCGTACGTATCATGAGCGACTTTTGACAAGTCCAAAGTGGGGTATTTTGCACAAGCAGAAACATCTATTTTTTCTCGTTGTTTGGTAGGTATACGAGAAGTAATTTTTATATTATACCAATATATAGGTATGAAATATTTATAATAAACGTTGTATGTTTCGTTGATGAATATAGAGGTGCTTACTTACTGCGCAGGCCAAGGGGAATATAATCCCCGTCTAGCGTCTACCCGTGAAGTCATCACTAATTTGGATAGGTTGTTGCTATTTTTGTGTACACAGCTGTTTAAATTGATTGATTTTTGGTATTCAAAATGGTTAAAGTCCAGTGTCATTGACAACGGAAGACTTTTTACCACATGAAATTTATATTTTTTTACTCTATGTTATACTGAACTAAAATGTTATGCTTATATTATTTTAACCTTTCAAGTGATTACAATTTAAAATTATTCAAATGAATGCAATTTCAAATTTAATAAGCCTTAGCATATTACAAATGACAATATTTTTCTTTAATCAATATTTTAATCTTAAATCGAGAAGGAGACATTTGGTATAAATGTAGGTTGGCTGAGATTCTTGAATCTTTTCATGCGTTTGGTGTCCATACATACGAAAATGGCAGTCGGTTGATATGGTTGCAAGTAAATTAAATTAGGTAGGTGTCAGTAGAATTAAAGAATGGATGACTAATGACTAAATATTGATTAGGTATTAAACACGTAGGTCAAAACAGATAGTAATAAAGTGTAAGGCAGAGAAGTTAGAAGGATTAACATTTGCAAAAAACGTATTCAAATGTTAAAATAACTAAAGAAATTAATTTATACCTAAATTAAACGAATACAAAATTTAAATAGTATGAAATATATTACAGTTTAATGCATCTAAAAAAATATATAAATATGTGTAAAGTAAATATTTTAAAAATTGTATATTACATAACAATTTTTCTTAATATTTAATTTAATTTTGGCGTAAAAATATATACGTACATTACACATAATATTTGTTAAAAAAACTTTTCTAAAACTATTTGATTACATTTTATTTTTAATCTCGAAATTATGCTGAAACTTTACTGAGAATAAGATATAATACACAGCTATTTTATATTCATAAATATAGCTAGGTACCTATTTGTTTTAATACATAAAGGTTTTATAATATTCTTTTACCGCAGTTTTATTTTAAAAGCAAAATAATTTTTAAATACAAATGATTACAAATTCAACAATACAATAATTGTGTATTATGATTGAGTAATAATTACGGGAAACATAGTAGTTGATTCAGGGGGAGGGAGTTAGGTGTTTCTAAATACTTTGTATTTTTAAAGGGAAGTATATTTTATGGGATTCTCATTATTTTTCCAATTTTTGGCCATTAAGGCCTTTCTATATCTCTCTCTTGTAATGCCTGCACTGTGTAAAGTGTCTTTTTTAAAATGATCTTCATTTTTTTTAATTTGTACATTTTAGAATAAAAGTTAACGACACCACATTTACCGAACTACCAGTGCTTCAATAATAGATTATATTTAAAAAAAATTCTATTATGTAACATAATAATCTTTCAAGTTCCAGTAATATAAGTTATAACATAATATATAATATTATAGTTAGGCATTACTTATTAGGTATATAGTGCAGAGTAATATTATACTAAATCAGTACAACAGTACAGTAGTCGAGTGAAATCAAAATAATATGTTAATGTATATTCAGAACGCCAGACCAATAGTTGATTTTGTTTACCGAAGAAATTGATTTTCAAAAATTTTGGAAAAAAAAATAATACGCGACAATAAAGTACACAAAATCAGTAAATATTTTAGACGATTGAAAAACTTTGCTATTCGCTGGGGATGGTTCGTGTGTATCTTATATATATTATATCAAGCGGCAAATGAGAAAACATTCAAACTTCATGAATAGGTATAATTAATATTAAAATACTAAAAAAAAATTGACTTAATTGTGAATCGATTAAATAGAACTGTTGATGAAAACGTTGTCAATGCATTTGGACAAAATATAATGTTAACGCTCTTTTCCTGAATATTTTATCCACCTTACTTTGCATGGAAGCCTACAATAATAACATATTACCTATTTAATATATTAATATTTTTAATCTCATTTTTTCTTTTTTTTTCATGTGTTTTTATCATCTTAAGTTTCCATTGGGAAAGTGCCTAAAATTGCTGCGTGCAAAGCGGCCAGTAACTGCAGTAGTTCGTCATCGTCTGGACATAAATCAGAGTCGTCTCCGTCCACATCCAAAAGTAATCGCACTCTCACGTCTTTGGCGTGTTATTATTCTTGCATTATACAAGTGTTTCGCACAATCCGCACGCCGGCCATGTATAATGGCGTGTGGAGGTGGTGGTTCTGAGAGTTTTCGTTGTTTCATCTACGAATTCACCGTTATTAAAAAATATGCTGTAATCATTATTATTTTGTTCGCTTTAGACAAATACTCGGGTGGTGGCAATCCAGTGCACCCCAGAGAGATTCCGGTTTGGCAGAAAGAGATCACGTGCTTTTTCCAGGTGAAAAACGACGAACTACCACTGCCGTCGGCCAACGGCGAGGACGAGGACGATGACGTCGTCGAAGTACCACCGCAAGAAATGATGCAGGCCGGATCGTCGAAAATGTAGTACAGAACAAGACGTTTTTTATTTATTTTATACTTGCGAATTTCCTATTAGAAACTGACTTGAAGTCGTGTATGGCCAAGATTTTGTATAATATTACGCATTAATAGTTTAATGTGAGTTCTTATACTCGCAAGAAGTATTTATTTTTTAATTGGATTTTTTTACCATATGTCTTTATACCTTTTTATGTATAGGTAGTAGGTACAATATTATATTATTCGCGTTCGTTCTGTTCAGTCATACGTTTACATTCATTTTATATTTAATAAGCCAATGTGTACACAATATAACGAACAATAATACAATTTAAATTTATTTTTATTTTTCAATATTGGATAAACAAAAATGAAATATATTTACTCGATAGCAATATCGTTATGTATATCAGCTAGACTGGCTCGGCTCGGCTGTTGTGTATAAGATATGTTTTTAAAGAACCGAAGAGAAATGTCATTTTTGTTTTATTACTCTCCCTCAAAATTAAATGTTTAACTTTTATTTTAATTTAAAGTAATTATTATTGATTTTTATAAGAAAAATACTGAAATACTGAATATATAAATATTATAGATGGTACAAATACAAAAAATGATCAATTTTTCAGATGTATTTATTTTTTATACTACAATAATATTTTCTGTACATGATATGCATTAGTTTCTGATTAACATTTTAAAATCGAAATTCAGAGTTAAAGTGTCTTATATGTATATATTATGTTGATTATTATTTTTTATTATGATTCAATATTTAGTTAACAGTAACCTAAGTAGGCAGCACAGTATTATGATATAATATAAAGTTAGAAAAAGAGTTAAATAATTACTATCACTTAAAGATATGAAACTATTAAAATTATAATAATATTTATCATTAAGTAGAATAAAAAATAATTTGATTTATGTACCAAGCCACCAATTTACTTTAATTTCAACAGTTGAATTATACATTATTTTATTTTTTATTCAAAATTATGATGATGTAATATCTTAAATCTATTATTAGGTATTGAATATCGTCAAGTCAGTATTGTTTAAGATTTGTATATTTGCAATAAGTATACGAGTATAATTTATCATGAGTTATAAACTCATAAAGTCATAAGACAACGTTGCAGTTTAATTAGTGTTTTGCAAGTTCCTTATAAAAAATAATTCGTTCCGTTCCTTGTTCCTCTAAAAAAGGTATTCTTTCCTTTGTCGTTCTTCGAGAAAATGAACAAGTTCCTTTTTTAGTTCCAAATAAATAAAAAACTATTTTTTAACCATCAATGTTTTTTTTTCATATTTATACTTAGGTACTTAACTTTTTATTTATACATATACATACCTACAAGTATATCTATAATTTACTATTTAATTCAAAAATATAACATTGATTATTGAATACATTTTTTTCTTTTGTTCATCTAAATTTATTATTTTTCAAACAGTATATAAATTAGTTGTATAGTATACTATCGTCCATCAACTTCGATACTGTATAACGATCACTAATTGGCTATATATACACACTAAGAATAAACATTTTTTAATTTGAATTATTTAAAAAATCTGTGTAAATTGGAACTCGAAAGGAACGAAAATGTTCGTCATTTTTCCTTGAAAAGCACTCGTTCATTTTCTCTTTCTTCTTTTATAAACAGGAATTCGTTCCAACAATCTGTTCCTTTTTTAACTCGTTTCTTCCAAAACACTGAGTTAAATCTAGTTTATCTTGGGCATATAAATAAACAAGTATAATGAGTGTATGTAATCCCCAATTTTTTATTTTCATTTCTATTACCGAGTGGGGCGATAAATGTGGTATCTATCTATGTATATATATATAAATGGAGCCAAAAATGTATAACAATTCATCAATTGAGAACGGCTGGGCCGATTTGGCTCAACATTTTTTTTAATTGTTCGTAATTGCCAGGAGTAGGTTTTTAAGAAAAACAATTTTGGAAGAACCCTTTTTAAAAAAATTTTTTTGATGATATATTTTTTGAGTTCCAGAATGTTTTTTCGAATTGAAAAAGCTACAGCAAGCTTTAGTTTATAAAGATATAATTAATCGTTAAAATATGGCTGTCAGCTGAGTCATCGGCATGTAAACATTCAAAATAGTTAATAAAATTATAATTAAACATATTATTCGTATAGACTATGAAGTGTGCACATAGCGCGGTCCGCAATCCACTGCAGAGTGCAGATTGTTAGACTACCTGATGGTATACTGCTCACATAATCACATGTGAGTCTCATATAGAGTCTAGGATCAGCTAGAAAAGAAATGATATTGATATAACAGACCTTTGTTTCGACACGAAACTACGACAGTTAAATTGTCTACTGACGATCGTACGTAGCAATGGCTGCAACCGCTATATTTATGACGTAGGAATACTTGCCGACATTTTAAACTACAAACTAACATAATATTTGTATTAAGTCAAGAGTTGTATATGGTAAACACCGAATAGCTCAATTAAACAAATTGCGTTATTGAAAAATAATAATACTTTATTTATCGATATGCGATAAACGTGTTAACTAAACAAATTATAATTATAACTATAGTCATTTTTATAATAATATGTGTATAGAATCATTAGAATCATTTGTAAATATTATTATTATTATTTTTTGAAAAGATTTTTCAAAATTAGACTTTTGAGGGGGTAAAAGGGGGGTTTTTATATAGCTATATAATACATGGGCAACGCCGCGCCGTGACAGATAGTATTTTATAATAATGCGTGTTTTAAATTTTTTTGGTGCCTGACATCATTATTAGGAGTGGGAATAATGCTTAAAATATATTGAACATCGAGAGAATATATAAATAGTATATATATAAAAGAATTTGATCAAAATTACATATTGAAAAAAAATATTTAAGCTTTTGCTGTAGCCTTGTAGGTACTATTGATAATATAGGCATTGTAAATTGTCTACTATTTTTGAAGTTCTTTTTGGATTTGGGCATGATAAAATGTTTATTGGAGAGTATAATAGCTTGATAATTTAATAAAAGCTTTCTATAAGTTGTTTTTAATTTTCGAAATACATAATCACATTTTTTGTTTTGTAAGCGTTTCAGGTTAGTTAGAATGTTTGAGAAATTTGTAAAAATCACAAAAATATGTAAACTATTTTGCAGTTCATTTTTTTGTAGCTATAATTTGTTTGATTTTTGATTTAATGCCTTGACAATGTAATGCAAGAATCCTTATAAGTTTTTTTATTAGAAAATAAATTAAGTATGGCTTGAAATCGAAATTCAATTTTATGCAGTTATGCAGAAAACATAATTTTAAATTGATGTCTTTATTGATTGTTTTTTTTTTTTTTAATCGATTTGCTTATAAAAATGTAAAGACTATTATTATTTTGATACAAATTATGGGTTTTCTTTATTATTTTTGGTTAATTAGAAGATTATTCACAATGTTAAGTGATGGTTAAAATCGATTTTGAAATCGGTTTTCAGCCCTCAAAAAAAGGTTAATTTTAAAGTCAAGTTAACTTTTAATTCACCTTGTTCTTTTGGTTCCGGTTCTAGGCCCTTGTTTAACATAATCTTATCTAATACTTTGTTAGTCATTACTCATTACTTATTACTCATATTAAGTCAAATATGTAATTAAAAAAATAGGCCTACAGGCTACAGCTAGGCGGTCTCCGCTCAGAAATGTCTTTTGTTTATACGATTACCAGATTACCTATATGTACTTGTATTTGAATTTAAAATTAACACATATTTTACTAAAGTGCCTTATTAGTTATTACTATCTATGACGAAGTACACTCGACACTCGATGTCTCGATACCAACTATACAGCAGCACGATACAACACGACTTCCCCGGTGTTTGTTTCATTAAGTTACTATCTATTTTTTTTTGTCAAAATGTTAAATAAACGTTAGTCAAAGCTGACTGTGATTTTTTTACGGAAATATTGATATAATGTTATTATTTACTTTATTAGTACCTACAAATACTTTTATTTCGGGCTATACGTTTTCTTAATCTTTTAAAGAAAATAATATTTCTTTTTTAAAAATATTTTTTTGGATCAATTTTGATTTCTAAGTGTAAATACTAAGAAGTAAAACCTATAGTAGCATAGTATAGGTACAATAGTGTCACACAACAAACACACATAAGTATTACATATTATTATGTATAATATGGAAATAAAAAAACAAAACAAAAATACAATATTGTTCTTTTTCAATGTTTAATATTCTATTAAGCACACTAGACAAATAATAACTACAATAGTTTGAAATAAAAACAAATACTAATCCTACTTATGGATTATGGAAATCACTGACTGTCGGCCAAGCCGAGAGATATTAAGTACGACACATATATTATAAGTGTTACATGGAAATGACTACGAAAAAATTGCGTTTCGGTTCACCTTCTGCGGACAACACTGCGCTGTTGCTCGGTGTAGGCCAACCGATATGCTTAATAATAATAATAATAATAATAATAATAATAATAATAATAATAATGATAATAAAGTAATACACATAATGATAATGATAATAATATTAAGAATAACATTAATCATAAATTATAATTATTATTATTCATTACTATAATAGGTATATGCTAGTATAATAAGTGTCTATATTTGACTAACAATAATAATAATACACAAGCTCTAACAATAATAAAACCATATAACTACCAACACAAAACTAATCACAAAAACATAATGTCTTAGCGAATACAACGGTTACAGAGCGCGATAGTAGATAGTATAATAATAATTATATATATTATAATAGATGACTTAATTATTATTGGTAATATGAAGAGGTTTTTTTTCTTATAAACAATCATTTGTAGTATTATAATTTTTATCTTAAAATTAATAGGGTATTCGAAATAAAATAAAAACGAATACACTAAAATTACGACGAAGAATAATAATATTATTTAAAAACTCACAAAAATCCCGAGTCTGATTTCTAGTTATTGTAGATTTATTTTTTTTGCTTAAGTCAAAATATGCGAGTGAAAAATCACACTCACGCCACAAAGCACACCAATACACACATAAACACACAAACACACAAAAACGCGACACGCTGTCGTAAAAGATAATATAATAATAAAATCGTTTCGACGAAGTGTAATATTATCATTATTCATACAATAATTATCGTACATAAATATTATTATGATATCGTGTTGGTACATTATATCGCACCTCATATAGGTATAGCGTATATTTATTTTTTATATTTACAATTATTATTGTATGACATGTATATTATAATAATATTATAGCTACAAACGCATACTTTCATCATAATATTAAATATTGTATAATATGTATTTTCTTTTAAGACGACAGTTATTATTTATCACAATTAAAAAAAGAAAGAAAATAATAACCACGAGCACTCATTGTTTTTTTAATTTTTAAATTTTTTACTTCCGAGTACTACGAAATCCACGATAAAGAATAAAAGTAATTACTTATTTTAAATTATTATTTATTAATACTTATACAATATTATACAGAGGAGGGCCACCTCAATATTTTTATTATTATTATTAGTCACTTGACCAAAAAAAAAAAAAATAATCTTAATTATAGAAGCTTCCAATAACAGTTTTTTTCGATCAATCGACTCGCGTTAGGCCCACCCTGTTGCTGTAATAGGTCGGAAAATGATTTCATTTTTATTCCGGCTCCTTCCATTCGACGTTGGCCCACACTGGAAGGTCCGTTTCGTAACTCCATCCAGGCCCCTGTGGACATGCAAGAATATTAGTAAAACTTTGTGTAACTACGTAGGGGAAAAAAGTTTTATAAATAAATATTTATGTATAAAAACATGTTTCGTTATTGTTTCGGAGATAATTATAATTATTGTACAAAATTATTTCAAAATATACTGCACAAGTACCTACTAAAGTCTCAAAAAAATATTTGAGTACCACTATAAGTAGGTATCCACTCAAATATATACAATCGAGTAAAAAAATAAATCAATTAAATAAAACATAAGAATAGCTACACAATTATTTTTCTAAGATACCTATATCATGTATCATGGTTGTAAGAATCGTAGTCAGTATATTACAGTTATTATAAGACAGCTCACAGGCTATAGCCTAATATTGTGGTAGTTTACACACATTTGAAATTATTTCATATAGGTATTTTAAACTTAGATATATTAATATATATTAAACTTAGAAGTAAAAAATAGTTATATAATTTTTCATATTTCATAAATACGATGTGTTTAAGATGTTAATCTTATTAATTACGTAGTATCGCCATTCATGAAAACTTTTTACGGTGACGGAGTCAGTTTAAAGAAATCGGTAGTTGTGTGATACATTTTTTCAGAACTTAAACTCAATAGTGTTCAATATGATAAAAGGTGTATTTAAAATAGGTACCTTAAACAAAAAGTATGCATGATGTATTCAATGCTAAAATGTTATTTAATACCCTTTGTCAAATACCTAGGAACACTGTATAAAATGTCGTCGCCAGTATTATACGGAGTAATAATAATAAATACGTTAGTAGGTAATTAAAATAATATGTAACATTATAATACGATCATCAGGACTATGTATAAGTCCCAATAAGTATAATATTTTCATAACTAATTTATTCAAGTAGATTTTTTCGCGTTCGTGGCGGGAGAGGTCCAACCAAGAGATTTATTCCAATATATTTTATTTTTTTGAATAATGCGCTCGGCACTAATGCAATTTTGTCCTCAAAAATACATTTTACCGGAATAATTATTCTGTAATCTAAAATAAACCAAATTTGTTTTTTAAATTAATTATGGAAGATATTCTACAACCCCCATTGAACTCCTTTTTTCAATATTTTAATATCAGACTTTATGATATTATGTCTTAAAAAAAGAAAAATGTAAAGCTTATCTTACAAATTATTTTATACCGTTATTTAAAATAAAAATCAGAGTTAAAAGAACAAAGTCTTTTTCTTTCAGATAAAAAAAAAAAACAGTTATCAAAATGTAACAGTTCTATGAGTTCTGAGAGTTTTTCATGCGAGTCATTTATGTTATTATATAATCCCCTCCCTCCTCCCAATAAAATATGTATCGTGGATTAAAGGAAATTAATTATAATTAAGGTAGTAACTAAAATATAAGATATGCATATTATATTATTTATACAATACTATAAAGTCCTAGTAGTTGGTGTGATTAAGTAAAATTAAATAACATATTTTTATTAACAAAGTATGCAGTAGGTACACTTACAAAGTTTTAACCCCCCTTCGATCCAGCTTTCAATGGACCATGGTCACACCAGAACTAGGTAGCTATGTAACATTCGTGTCTTATATTAAGGTTTACGATAGGAACTCGCGTATGTAATATTTCCGGAAGTCATCATATCCATCTAAATAATTGTTGACATTTTCTCGTCTTTGTTGTTTCTTCTTTCAAATTCAATAGATAATTGGACGCGTTTAATTCGAGTCCCTTATATAGATGACAACAAATAATATAGAAACATTATTTAAGAAACCTATAATGTAGTACTGCAGTGGTTCGTCAATCAGGGAACCATCCCTTGGGCACCACTTTGATTAGACCAAACAAATTGGAAATGTAAGCTTGTTAATTTAAGTTTAACAAAATTAACTCTGTTGTTTGAATGTTTCATTAAACGTTGACCACTGTGTAGTACAACTGGTTATTTATTTACCGTGATCTTATTAAAAATTGAATAACATACATCCAATAAATTTCACCTTTGTAAAAATATAATAATTTTTCAAATTTAACGCAGGATTTTTTTATTTTACCTTTTATTGTTGAAAGTTATAACTTTATTATTAACTTATTTTATGAGTAAACATACGTTAGTCTGGTGGGGTACGTACTTTGCTAATTGAATAGCCTATTTAAGTATCAACTATAGCCTATAGGTAATGAAGTAGCTACTATACAGTAGTGGTACAGTAAATTATTTGTCTTATTTTATATAGCCTATTTAAAATCATATTTTTAATTTTGTAAAAGCTATAATATATTTGTAGACATAGATTCAGTGAATTTATTCAAAACGGGGTTACCTGATGTTACTCAAAAATAAAGGACATGTTACATTTTTCCATATTATAGTATTATTATTTGTCGAAATTATTTTTGTAGCCTAGCTCCCCCCCCCCCCGATTTTTTTTTGTGATACACTGATACGTAGACGGCGGGTCAACACCGCGGGCTGTGTAAATGCAGGGTATATTCTTATTTATTTTATTAAACCAAAAAAACATTTTCCAAAACGATATGCACATTGTCGTAAGACCAATAATATTCGCTTCTCGCGCCGCACATCTCCCGAAACATAAAATAAATTACTTTTTGAAGACGCGTACCTATATAATATCGTATATGGAAACACTTCAAACATCAAGCCCCCCCCCCCCCGCTGTTGTATGCGACATTACAACCGGGGCTTATGTATGTTCGCATCGTAAATTTTATTTTCGAATAATAGTTTCCAAGTGTACCTACCCGTGTATATAGGTAGTGTTATTGTGTACTGCTTTACACGCGTGACGTGTTGGGCCTACACGTTACCGTTATCGCTATGACGCAATAAATGACATTTTAGACTGCGACAGGGTAGGGCAAAAAGTGGTGTGTGGCACCTTCATATCGGGTGAGGTTCTATTGAATTTGCACTGAGTCAGTCGTTGTATTTAATATTATGTGCAACAAACCGATCAGATGCACAGAGCTAAGGATCCGGAAGTAAAACATATATTATACACTACAGGCGTTTTCAAGTGTGCAATGTGCGCTTACAGAGTTTACAATGGATATCCGTTCCCGAAATATCCTGTAGCGTCTGCAGCTGCAGGATGAGAAGTTGTCTGCAAGTACCAATATAGCTACAATACAACTGTAGGCTTATTCGAATCGTCCTCGTAAGTCTGAGGATGTGTGAAGATGTGTGACTATGTCGGTGTAGCTAGAAGCTATATTTTAAGTACCTACCGTCTATACCGTCACATAATTGGTATTTACCAACTACAGGGACATGATTTTATCGTTTTAAGTAACATTTTACGTATAGTAGGTAATATTTTCGTACAGTACTACCCGTGTCAGAAGAGAAGACTTTTTAAAACCAAATCCTTCAATCCGGTTTTTCAGTTTATGGACCAGTGCTATAATATAATAGTTGTAGCGAATTGTTGCTCCAAGTCGTATTATTTTATAGTATCTAAAATGTTACTATAATAAGCACAATATCGAAATTAAGTTACACTGTCTGAACGTATTTTCCTTAGCTATCAACTGTTATTAAATTATTATTTTCAATAATTATATAAACTATGAAGTAGGTACTTCTTTGTGGTATATTATCGTATCTAGTAATATATCGTTATATAAGGTTATCACTTTTTAAAATTATAAAATTACCACATAACTAGGAAACTCATCAAAGATATTAATACATAATATAAAATATAACACAAAATAAAATTAAAAACGGTCTAGCTGTTTAATTTGCAAATTTAAATTATTTTCGTCTAAAGGTTAAACGTGAAATAAATAGGGAAATACAAGATTAAGTACCTAATGAGAAGTATTCAGATCAAGCAACAACTATTATGAAAAATATGATCGACATTAACGTGATTAACAGTGTAGATATTCAACACAAAACGTTTTTAACGACACTACATATTTTATAATTTATAATTAGATGTAATTTATATCATAACAATAAAAAGAATTTATTATCATAAATTGCAACGTCGGAAGAGTTGTCAAATACAGTTTAATGCGATTACTAACATTTTTAAGTACACGCTTATGATGGAAATAAAAGACTTGTAATGGGCGGGGTAGCAAGGGAGTTTTGATAAAAAAAAAAAAATATATATATATAAATAAATAATAATACGTTATGACTTTAATATTATTCGTAAAAAGTGCAGTAGGTACCTACCTATCTTATTAATACATGAAATGTCTGATGAATCATAAATATATCTTAAACCATCGAATAATATTAATAATATTTGTTTTTAAGTTATTAAAATCCTTATATCTTAGTTGGTCTGTATGACGAATGACGATGTATCCTGTGAGCCTTAAAAATTTAGAGTGGTGCCATAAGACTTTAATATAATTCTATAATATTTCCCTCTCTATTTTAAATTCACATGGTATCGGTTGTCATTTCGATAATTACCTAAAATATTAAGGAATAATAATGTTATACTAAAATAAAATCGAATTAACTTGTTATTTTTCAGTACGATTGCAAATGAATTATATTATATTAGATTGTTTTTAAATTTATTTTCAGTTTATGAAGTATTGAATATAATTTATGTGAATAATAACTAATATTCATAAGTCGTCAGCCTCTTGAATTTTCAAGTACTATATTTTGGCGAATATTTAGGCTAACAAACTAAGTAAATTAAGCATGATATTTTGAATTAGCTTATTAATTCGATGATTATTGTTTAATTACAATTTGAACGAACTAATTATTAAATAAGTCATATCGTCCCTAAAAATGGGTAGAAATAAGAACATTTATTTTTTTAATGACAAATACTGTGGCTGTATTCTAAAATGTAAGCAAATAAAACTATATCATTGTACAAAACTAATTAATTTAAACGGTAATTGTATCATAATATTTTTTTACGACGTTAATTAATTTATAATTTAAGAGAAAACGACAATATTAAAAAATAAAAATAAACATAGGACTTAATGCAATGCCAAGACGATTTTATTCCGGGGATTAAGATTAAATAGAACGGAATCGATCTGTTATAGACATTATACAATGCTATTTTCGTGGCTACCGAAATATTATTATTATTATTATTATTATTGCGTATATTTTCGTAATCAGCTCACGTGCCAAATACCGTAGGTATGGTTTCTAATTCCATTACGCGACGGCGATTCGAATCATTCGATACAACAATAATATTATTACAACGGCGTGTCTGCGTACAGATTATTGTTGAATTAAATACTTACGCTGTACTTCCAAGCATGCAAGTACATGATGAGGTCTTTCGGTTTTGGGTCCCTGAATTTCACCCGGCACTCGTAGCAATGAGGGTCGTGGGTGAGCTTCTCGGCGTCGAAATCCATGTCCGGCACGTCTTGTCCTGTCTGCGTGGACACGTTCATTGCATTATCGTACTGCAACTGTAACTGATTGGCTTGTCTGCTCTTTATCTGCAACTGATGTTGCAATTCCACTGCCGATTCGTTCTTCTTGAAACCTTGTAGACAACAATAATATTATATCAAAAACAGTCGGAATTTAGTATTTTGCATTTCACATTAAGTACCTATAATACTAAATCACAGTATTACAATAATAAATTCCAATACCATTTAGTAACAATGATATTGCTGTTATGGCTGCCGTGTTGTCTTACCTACTTTCAAACGGAGGTTTTTCGTATGAATTTCCAGAAACCGATGTGATGCAAACGCATTGTTTACTTAATTAATGGATTTTTCGATGACATTGTAGTGGGTAAGTATAATACTATTGGTGGCATATTTCTTATAATTAATTAAATAATTGATTAAAAGTATTTTTCAATACTTTAAGTTTGACAAATAGATATTACCGAGAAAAATATTAAAGATTAGAGACTAGTATTACACGTGATACAAAAGTGGTCGAAAAAGAATACAACAATTTGTCTCAAAATCGTTTTCTTCTATCATTTATTTTCTCATTTTCTTGTTCCAAAAAATGATCACTTACATCCCACAGATACCATGATATTTGATACTGTTGTCTGAGCTTTCTCATTTCAGTTATGATGAAATACTTACTACCTATCGTTACATCTACCATAGATGTCTTATAATATATATATATATATACATATACATTTTTCTTTGACGTAGCACTTACCGAATACCCCAAATAACCTTTCTGATATGTTTTCTAAATATATATTTAGTAAAATATATTTTTTTTGATTTCATAGATATTAGTATACGTCGGAAATGAATATATTTATTGTTTATACAGTCTGATGAATTGTTTATAATGATAATTAAAGTGCATTATTAACGGTACAATTAGTCTTATTAAAAAAGGATTTTAAGTTTTTAATACGATTTCAGTTTTGTTAGCTCGTGTTTTTTTAAATCAAATATAAATTTAAAAAATATATATGTGATACGAATTACTTCTTTTTACGAGTTAAAATATGTATTTACAACAATCGTTGATGACATTTTTGATATTCATGTAGTTATTTAATATTAAATGTTTTAATTTAACGATAAAATACCCATTATTTTAAATGTATGAAACACTAGGATTTATCTAACAATAACAGAAATCATTCTACATAAGAATAAGGTTTTAAATCCAAATACTAGAAACCACGCTAAGTCATTTTCTCAAGAGACCCTTACTCATATATATATATATATGTATGACTTTGCATTTTCAGGGATCTCAATAATAGAAACAAATATAGGAGTGCTCAACTGAGATACAATGAAATATAATAATATGTGTATTCTGTATTGTGTATATTATTATAGGTATATCTATTTTTAAATTACATAATTTTTTCTGTACTTATAAGTTTAAAATGATTTTAATTAACCATATAATACAATTATTTTGTTCGGTTGTATATTTAATGAATATATTACAATAAAGTATTTTTGTTTTTAGTCGTGAAAATTAGTTTGATAAAATAAAGATGTTTTTTCTATGGTATAAAAAGCAAATGCAGCACGTTTTATAGTTATTATATAATTTATTTGAAAAAATAGAGTTTTATTTCTTCTTTTAAATCGTTCAACTGCGTTAGTTAACTTTCCAACAGTGATGATATTTTGTACGTAAAATCTAAACATTCGTTTCATTTAGGTACACATTAAATTTGCGATTTTGAATTTGTAAGACAAATAATTTATTGCGATTATAATAAGCGATGGTTTCATAAATGATTGTAGGTACTTATTATCTGAAGTGTATTTGACGAATAAACGATACGGGACCGGGTGTCAGACTTGTGCTAAACAGTTCCCACCCGTTTCCGGGTTCTGAACGAAAAAAAAAAGGTACCCATGATGAATATGGTAAACTTTTATGCTAAATGGTCGGTAGCTTTGAATACAAATAACTATAAACATAAATAGATATACCTTTATAATGACAATTATACTGGAATAAATTTAATATTTTATGCCGATGAAGTAAACAAGTGAAACAAAAGATGCGAAATAAATGAGACAGCTTGTTTATAAAATATTATAAACGACAAATTACATTTTTATTTCCAAAGGGTATGAACAAATTAAATTTAATAATTCATAAAAGGATTTTTTCAGGTTTTAAAAATATGTTTTGATACTTCTAAAATTAATATATTTTATAGTAAAGACTTAAAAATGGCGTACTTAAAAATACTAAATAATTATCATATGGTCTCGACCACAGTTGAAATAACCTATTGAATTTATATTTGTATTATAAGCTGATTAATTTATTTGTTTCGGAAAATGTATATCAATTCGGTATCTTGTTGTTATTATAATATTATCTTAAGATAATTAGTTGAAAATTAAACGAAAAAGCTCAATATGCAAGAAGTCAAATGTTCATGTATTATTTGTGTCAAAATTCCTTCTTTAAATAAATAATAATAAAAAACTGCAATGAATAAAAATTTAAAAAAGCAATATTATGTTCTTAATGAGAGTTATAACATAAATCTACAGTAATAAGAAAAATCAATATTTAAACATTTTATTCAATTCTTGTTTAAAAAAAAGAAAAATATAAAATGATTTTCTCCATAGCCCAATTTATACTAGTATATAAATAAAGTTAAGATTATGTTTGAAATCGTTATGGACAAATGACATAGCATAGAGTTAACAGATGCGATCTTGTAAAATACAATACATAATATGCCGGGTCGCATATAAAATTAATTAATAAAATATAATTCAATAAAATGTAATGGACCAATAATGGCCAACAAATCATGTTTAAGGGACCATTTGCTCATTATTGATTCAATAAAATATGTTTAGTAATAGTTCATGCAATACAGAAATAATATTATAAATATTAAATCGTAGCAGTTGAGCAGTGTTAATGAAACTGTTTCTCTATACTTTAGTGCCAACACACACTCGGACGTTGCTATATTGCCTATACGATGCGCCGTTTCATAAATAATCCAACTGTGTGAGATAATATTATTATTATTAAAAAAAATTATTACGTGGGTGGAACTATGCATATTTCTGTACACGGAAACCGTACTTAGTATTTCAATTTATCATTTTATTTTCTAGTCTCATTTTATTGTAGTCAAATAATTATACAAGTATACCTAAGATGTACGTCCAACAGATTTAACTAAAGAATTAATTTGTAAAAAGGAATACAAATTTTCAAATTAAATTGAGTATACGTTTTTTTAAGGTGTGTGAAGATTTGCAGTCTAATTCTTTTTATAAAAATGACTAAAATATTTTAATGTTGCTGTAGTTACATAGGTTTTGGAAATTATCCAAAAATAGTAATACGGCTGAGTACGATGGTTTGAAAAAACATTGCCAATAGATTCGTCCGGGTGACAGTAATAAAAAATACCGGCATTTCGTCGTGATGAATAGGATAACTTGTTGACGAACAAATAGTTTATGATATGGTTATACAAAGTACGTATTAAACTCGAAAAAAACAACACTATTTTTACAACTATTATCGCGCTTAAACAAATTCCATGACTTTAATAATCACTCACAATAAACTTGTTCTATACGTGAATTTATTGAAATAAAAAATATAAGAGTTTTTAAAAATCTGTGAAACAATTTGATCTTGACTATGTGTGACGTGTAATGTCAGCTTATATAACACGGGGTGTGGATGTTCAACTATATTACAACATTTACAACCTAATGAGAAAAACGGCAACAAGAACAGTTGTAAAAAAAAAAATCACCGAACGACCGATGTACAATAAACACTATAATTCAATTATTATGATGTCTATGTATTATGATATACTGAAATGCATAAGTCATTAACAATTTATAGCTTACGGATTTATGATGGCTGGCTGTGTATTACGGTTTCGTTTTTATTAGATAGTACTTAATGTATTTTAAATAAATATTGGTGTCTTTTGTAATACTCCAATTATTGTTTTTTTTTGCGAATCATATATCAATTTTAAATTAAAAGTGAGCATATTAAACGAATATGATGGCATTATAATAATGATATCATGTTATTCAAAAAAGTAGTCAAGAGTCACTAATGGGTGGCTGCTTAAATCACGCCTGTCACGTATCATGTACTTATATCATATGCGCTTATTGTGCAAATTGTACAGATTGTTTATTTCAAATAAAAAAGAAAAAAAAATGTTATTCAAAATGTCCAACCTAAAAATACAAAATACTACAAAAATGAAATTTGTTTACAAATATAAATACACATAATAAAGTAAATTATTAATTATTGTATTATATTGTGGACTAATTCATTCTGCTTACCCGGTGGTGTTTTTTTCCCTTCGTCGACGACGTCTACATCTTTCAATATCGGCATTAGTTCTGAGTCACCGTCCATGCCCAACCAGTTTTCAGCGTTGTGGATGTTTATCAAATCGTGAATCAGCTGCTCGTCCGACTTGCCAATAACGCCGCCGCGGCCTTTTTCTGGCCCGAACACCACGTGGTTGTACAGTGGGTCGTTCTTCACCGGAAATCCTGCATTTAACAGGCAAATACACAATATTATTATATTTAAAGGATTGCAACCGGTCCGTTTCTAAGGAGTTCAATATGGGCAATACGAAGAGCGAGAGACTTACGTTCAACAATAATCAATATCGCTTAACATTCGAAACATAATTCATTTTAATTGGGATGGTCGTTTTTAATTTTTTAATTAATTTGTTTAATGTCCTTATAGGTAAAGCATTTTTAAATTTCAGATCTTGTATAATGAAGTTTAGAGAGGAGGTTAAGAGTTAAAATATTGAGGTGCACAAAAAGTGGACATTTTAGGTAATCTATTAATTATAATTTCAGATCTTTTTGCAAAAAAATGCTATCACTTTGTTATAATTTGATGGGTATGATAGAACAATGATGAATTGTTTTGGTATTTATAATCAAAAACATCTTACCTAAGTATTGAAGGTGTACCCTGATCTGATGCATGCGTCCCGAGTGCGGGAAGCACAATACCACGCTGATGTTAGTCTTCTCGTTATAGCCCACCAATTGGAATGTCGTTGAACAGTTTTTGCCCTTGTTGGATACCTTGCACACGCCTATCTTATAGCTGACCACTTCGATGGGATGATTGCACTCGATCGTTTGCCTATATTAAGATAACAATACGGGTAATATTATATTATTATATAATGGCCATTGGCCTTGAGAAATAAGTAGGTTGCGGGGTATAAAATGATTGGGGTCGACCTAGTTATAATAATAATAATAACAATAATAGACCACAATAAATAAAAGTTCTATTGTGTACACAAGTTGTAGGAGTAAGGGTCTCTAGCTTTAATGATGTATACCTATACCTATAAGTTTAAATTTGATGTTTCAAGAAAATTTCCATAGTTATTTTTGAAATTTTAGCTACCTACACATTTAATTTTAACTTACTACTCAGAATTTTTCCTAACAATTAAAAATTAAAAAACTTTAGGTATCTACCTATTTTTTTTCTTATTTTTATACTACGCTACTACTATTTTACCTCATGAGTTAATGAATACGGACATAGGTACATCATATAAGTAAATATTTTACACTGTGTAAAAAGATACTCATCATATTGTTTGTTTGTAATATTATAATTCTTCATTAATAATTAGTATATTTGTAAATTTAAAGGTAGAGTGAAATGGCTTATAATTAATAGCGTCTGGTTATAAAATACTCCGACATTAACACATTTTAGAACTGATATATTATTAAACGAAATATAAATTAAATTAAAACTGAGTAGTTATACAAAGACTTATAAATAAATCATATTTCTTTTAAAAATACAGTGACATTGACATTGATCAAAGGATTTAACATTTAAAAAAATGAGTGTCTTTTTATACAAAACTTTTGAACATTTTTTTCAAAGAACTTTTTTCACTATCTATACCAGTTTTTTATAATTGAGTTCAACGATATTCAACTTTTTTCAATAAAAAACATACAATTCAGTGATTCTTATTCATAGAACAGTTTGCAATTTTAAAATGTATAAGCAAATAAAATGAAAATCACACAAAACACACATTTGTTTGTCACATGATACATTTTATGTTGGAAATACAACCAACTCGTAAGTTACACCAAGTTACCACGGTGTACACTGATATAAATAATTGGTCAGCAATTCGTTATCATATTATTATTAGACAGTTAATACGACAAAAGGGTTTCTCGGTCGACGATAATAACATAGGAATTAAGATAACGAAATATTATTGCCATAAAAACGTCAATCTGTGTCGTATCAAGCACGCAGTCTACACCGTGCGTGATTCCATACATTATATTTTAATGGCAGTGTTGGGTACTAATTAGGTATACATTATACTACTGCAAATTGTTTACATAAAAACAAAAATAATGGCATAGTATTGTACTCACTCGGGAAATCTCCCCTCGACTCGGCACACGTACTGTTTGTTCACCTGCCTGTTGCGGATTTGTGCCTCCATGATGCGGGCGTACCGTGGTGTCCGGCCGAACATGAGCAGACCGCTGGTCAACCGGTCCAGACGGTGTATGGTCCTGAGGTTTCTCAGGTTGTGCTCTTTGGCCAACACGAACACCACAGTGTTGTGCCGATAACGACCGCACGGATGAACCTACCGGACGACCAGACAATATTTTTTTTTTTTTTTTTTTTTTTTATTAGCTTCTACTTTCTAGTGTAACTATTACAGCTCAACAATTATTCAATATATATATATAGGTACATGAGATAAATATAAATAAATAGAATACATTTCAAAATAATAATAGTGAACATACAATGTAAGATAATTTAAAATAGTGTAGAGATAAATATGGATCGAAGACCCACGAAAAGAACAATTTACAGATAACATAATGTAAGGCGATTAAAAATTTTGGATTAATTTAGTTAATGAGGTATGATTAATGTTTGGGCTATGGAATAAGCTGTTTATTTAGAACAGCTGTAAGGAGCATAGTGAGGGGATTTATTAATGTGGATAGTTCTAAGATAAATTTTGTAAATTAATTATCGTTAGTGTGGCAATTAGGTAAAAGGATATCATTGGTATCAACACGACGATAGAGGCGTAGGAAGCTTTGGGAATGTGATAGGGAATTTCGAGATGAGGGGACGTGAATATTGTATTCGAATTAGGTGGTTTGGTTTGAATTGATTTGCGACGTTTAAGACTTGCTCTGAATATTGGGTCGTCCTTTGTAGCTGGAGGTATGATGACCTATGCAAAGGGCACACTTGGCTGGACCACTTTTGTATTTAGTGCAAATGTCTGAGGAGTGGTCCATGTTTTATAGTTCTATGCCCGTAGTTATAAACCGCAGTGGACCTGAATGTTTGCCCTTTTATTCATCACATTACCACCAGAACAAGTGTCCGCTTCGGGCTGAGATTCATTTTAAAGTTAGTCACCCATGTGTTATAGCAATGGGTTATGGTATAAGTTGATATTGTTGTAGGGTATTTTTTGTCATGAGACGTGGTTCAAGGAAGTTATGTAGGCACAAATGTACAACAGTCATTGTTATATAGGATTGTAATGATATAATCAATCAATTAACAGTTTTATTGAAGAATGGAATAATAGAGAATTTAATATTTATAGAGTTACTAAATATTCATTTAAATATTTTGAAATGTATGAGATTTACCATCAAAAAGAGGAAATGGTAAATTGTCTAAAAAGTAATAATGATTTTATATATTATTTAATATTAAATATCAACATTTTCCAATTTTTACCTATATAATTCTAGGCTCTTAATTTTTTGAATGTACTCAAATATGCATTTATATGTAATAAAAACAAAATGTGTAAAAATGTCAAATATATCCTCAATTTATAAATAGGTACTTTAACTTTAGTGATAACGATTAACGTTAATAATGTTCTCTGCGTAAAATTTAAGTTTTAATATTGCGATGCCCCGAAATTAGCGGTATTTGAATAAAAATAAATAATTAAAACGTTAATTATTTAGGGTTACGGATAAAAGTGAGTGACAATTTTGTTCACTTTTGAAAAATTAACAGGATACACTTTTTTGTAGATATTTTTTTTTTTTTGCTCCCCGATTTTAATGACACCCGTGTATATTATAATAATAGCAATGTACAATATAATGTACAGGCCACAGGGTTTATCAATTACAAATTAATAATTATAATTAGGTGTATGTGTTTCGTTAAATTTCAGACACACTTTCCGTTACTGTTGTTTTAATAATACATAACAATATTATACCGTATTATTCCCACGACACTCAACTGGGCCAAAAATAAATCACCACAGTTATAAGGTGGTTTTGGTGTGTATATAGGATGTAATTAGGTAAATTAAACAAATCAACTTACCGGAATGCTTGCGGGTTTGTTGACTACCACGATGTCGTCGTCCATGTGCACGATCGTGATTGGATCGTTGGTCACTGGTACTTCATGTCTGTAACATAAACACACATACATATGTGTCGTTTGTTAAAATTCTTTCAATAGGGAAAAATATGCAAAAAAGGGTTTTAGATTTAAAACCGTTTTCATCCATACTGTTGCTGGGATATGGTTATGTCGAGTTGAAAAATAATAATTAGCAACCCTACATATAATATTAGAATTCATTGTAAAATGGACAACGAATAGTATACCTATCTATACCATCACAGACCTAGTTGTGTATATTTTGGACAGCTAACCAAGCCTGGCCCAAAGCACACAATAATAACGGCACATTGAACTATCATTGCAGATATTAACCTAAATTCATCGATGACTCAGATTATTAAAATGTATTCATTTCAAAATTGTATGCTTAAAATAATATAAAAATAGTTAAATTTATTTAGAATACATAATTTTACACAGTTTATAACTAATAATATTATTAATTGATGATGCATAGATATACTTTCATATGTCTAATATGTTTATCGTCTACGTTTATCAAAACTGTATACCTATTATTTGGACTTATTATAAATCACTATTGTTGTAGCAAAGTTCTTAAGGGGATTTGAAACTGTTTTTGCTGCTGAAAACATATTTTCCAATAAACTTCACAAAATCAAGATTTTTTGCTCAAAACCCGTGACCCCCCTCCTGAACAAATAATATGGTCACGTATAAAAGTTGGCCACACAAACATTACCCACGTTCACTTAATGAAAAAAGAACAAAGACCTCTGTGCGAATTCTGCAACACATCATTAATATCTATAAAACTCTACCTTCTCGAGTTGGGCATTCTAAATAAATGGACTACTTAGCCGAAGACAGAAAAATTTTTCCACAACTACCAAATATTGAAGATATTTTATCTAAAAAATTTCAATTTATTAATTGAAAAAACATTATATTTTGATATTATTAGGTACCTATTATTTTTTACATAACATTACAGTATATTATATTATGCAATTAAATTGTGTTTAGTATGATTATTGATTATATTATAGATGCAATTTGACGAAATAAAAATTACGAATCGTCACTGAAATTAGTGCTATTATATATCTGTATTATGTTTTCTATAATAATATATCATGGAAGAGGTATAGTACTCTTAGGTAAGTTTCTTCGATAATTTAGTATTAACTATAGGTATTTCAGTAATAACTACGAAAGGAAAAAAAACTTATCTGTACAACAGAGTCTAAATATTTTTCATATGTACTACCTAGTGTAAGTTATAAGTTATAACTATTATTATACTTATTAGCTAAGCACATTGTAATGTATATAACTATTAAGATGAATGTATTTATTTGTAAACTGTTTCTCTCCCGGCTAATGACTTCATTGTTGAAGAGGTAATAAAATATTTAAAAAAAAAAATATATTTACAATTCAACTTAGTGATCGATATGATTACGCGATAAAGATTTTTATCACAGGTTCCTAGTCTTATATTTTTTAGATTCTACTAAAAAACTTTTAACAAATTTGGACTTAAATGTCTTAAATTTGTCAAAGTTCTACTTTTAAAATGTACAATTCAACATTTTAACAGCCAAATTCCGCTTTTTAAGATAAAAAAAAAAAAATAGAATCCAAAGTTAAAATCTGTTAAAATCCGTTTTCAGTACACACATCGCATCAATGTATTAATAATTATCAAATGAAAATGTATTCAATTGAACTTAAATTTTGTCAATTCTCTATGCAGAATTCTTTATACAAACGATAAATTTCTCAGTCATTATACTTACAGCTTCATTGCCTATCGACGACAATTATAGTTTTGTCTGTTTTGGATTGAATTTCAATATTACCCAGAGAATATTGCTGGGAAACAACATGTTAACATATTAGCTATGTGTTTTTATTTTCATCTGATGAACACATTTTACTATTTTAGTGCTCTTCGTGGTATATCGTTGCTGTGAAAATTCGGAAATCGGAGATTGAAAACGTCACAAGATTTTTTTTGTTTTCCGCGATTGTGGGTGGGTAGGTTTGAGGACACAAATCTTATCGAAAATGGCGACATTGGCAGTGATTAAGAGAAGATATAAAAACCAAAACTCCATAAATACGTACGCGAAATACGCCATAATCGTAAACCCAAAGGGAATGACATTTCGCGACAGTTCGAACGAATCGTCAAAATAATACCACGCGCAGGGTATTATATAATAATAGGTGTATATGAGCAAAACTCGTCGCGTCGAGGTGTGTCTGTTCCTTTGGCGAGGGGTCGTAAATTCTAGACGACCACTGGATCGTGTTTAACAGCAACGTCGAACCGGGGTGATTTTATACTAAATAATACCTAAATAATTATGTGCAGTCGGACAATTTGTTGTTGTACAACGCGGCAAACGAACTAAAAACAATAATAAAGCGAAGAAAGAACGACGCCAGTCGTTTTCCGTAAGTACGGTCTTTATACTATAATAATTTAATACCAAGTGGCTTGGCGAGGAGCGGTCGTATCAATTCGCGGCAACGCTCTGATCGTACGTCCCGGCCGTCGTTGCTAGCACTCAGATGGGTGACCATTCGGGGTTTTAGCAACGCATCCTTGCCGCACATACAAATGTGTTCTGACCAACCGCCCCCCCCACAGAACCAGGCTAACGACCTTAGTATTTGGAGGCTTAATCCAAAAAAAAATGTAATACCGGTGTATAATTTATTACAGGGTGATTCACCAAGCATGCTCACTCCCATTATTTTATTTAATGATTGATTTATTAAGATTATGATTTTATAAGTATCTTATATACTCTAGGACTATGCTTTTAAATTAATTAGATTTTTATACCACGGTTTAAGGAGCGTCATGTGGCGGCGATAGTAACTTTTTTCCCATTGATTGCTTTTTACTATCAATTATTAAACAGATGATTATTTTTGAACAACTTTAAGTATCAAAATCAAATTTGAAATGAGTAGTTTCTGAGATATTAAAATGTATGTATCTACTATGAAATAAGGATTATATAGTTCTAGAAAATTGTTTTACAAAAATATAATATAATTGATTCAGTAATTATAATACTTCGACAATATTTTTTACAAAATCTAAAATAATGATCGATTGATATTAATACAATTATTAAAAAAATATAGCCTCTGCATACTGCATTTATTTCAAATTCATTGTCATGGACTTACTATCCTTAGTTCACAAAGTCAAATAATTCGAAAATTCCTAGTTAAAATTTGATATAGATAGGTATATAAATGTTTTCAAAAAAATAATCTATCTGACTAACAGTTTATATAGAAAAAAATGTAGGTTCATAAAAAGAAATTGGTATCATTATTGGACACTTCTCAAACGGTTTAAAAAATCCAAGCATTTAAAAATAGGGCCCTTAAGTATATATTTTGAATAGTTCTGAAAATCAAAATTTGAATAAATTTGCTATCAAATAGGAATGAAATGGGGCGAGCATGCTTGAATCACTCTGAGTGTGGAATAATGAAAACTCTTGAAATCCGTGAATTAATTATTTATTTTATTGCAAATAGTAAAAATTACAATATTTGAATACACGTATTTTTGATTCATCTCTTTTTCATGTCTACAAAATATGTCAACGAAGCGAGATCATTGTCCGACAACCACGTATGTGGTTCATACCACGTAACAATCGAAACGGGGGATCTCAAGTCGAGCGCAAGCGCCGATCGACTTAGCATTATTATTGTTCCGTGCTCTATTTTTTCTTTTTATTGTAGTTTGAAAGTATATGTTGTAGGGACGTAGGGTCATACATAATATTATATGGGGTGTTTCATCGAGTTTGTCCTCGGCGATTATTTTCTCGTATATACATGCTTATAATAGCCCAAGCCGTTTCAATGGTACCTACAACATAATGGGGTGATATTGCATTTTTTAAATATTTACATAAACTCATTCCTATGATATAAGTCCGCCATATTTTAATAATTACGTATAGGTAGGTACGGAGGTAGGGCACGTGGTTATAAAGGTTTTAGTTTGTTTCATTACCGTGTCCGGGGGGAGGGGGGATGTACACATTTTAACAATCTCTTTAAATAAAGTAGGTAATGATTTTTCGAAAACGTTAAAGACAGAAAATAAAGTTACAGATGAAGAAAAGCCTGGTGAAACGTCCTGTAGTCATTATAATATGTTCTATTTAAGTATTATTATTTTCAAGCACGACCTGCTCAATTTTTATTTTTACTCGTATAGAGTTGAGAGGTTTCTTGTACTGTTAGTACAATAATAAATGGGAGATTTGTTTAGGAGAATTTTAACAATGCGTAGGTATAATAGGTATTATATGATGCATGCGTACATTCAAAATATCGCTGTAATAAATTTGTAATCGAGATCGCCGCCGTACAAGTTTGGGGGGGGGGCAGGGTTGTACACATATTTTTAACAATCTCTTTGTTGCAGGAGTCAAAAAGTTACAGACCAGGGAAAGCACCCTGTGCATGATAATAATAATATTAAAATATAAATGTTCTATTATGCGAGTATATTGTTATTTTCAAGCAAAACCTGCGCAATTTGTATTTCCAATAAGTACCCACTCTTATAATACAATAATAATTGGGAGATATTTTTAGGAGTACATATTTTAACACGTTCGTAATATGTATATGACTACTCTTAAACAATAAAAAGTATAGCAGTTGTAATCAAGATCGCAGCTAGTACACGTAAAGTTTCGAGAGTGTCGGAAACAATGCGAACGAATGTGTTTGAGCACACGCATATACTCTCTGCCGTATCGGATAAATGCAGGCGGACTAGGTCGTTAGTTTTGAAGGGGAGGGATTCATTTTTTTTTCATTAATTTATGTATAATATACATAAATGTCAACTATCAAACGTCAAGATACGCTGGGTGACATCATTTAAAAATGAACAAAAAATCTACATAATTATATAACGAACAGTAACTGCAGCATCGAATGAGACGTATTTTTTTGTTGAACACACACATTTTACGCAAACTCTGGTCTTTGAACACCGTAAACGAACCAGCAGTGCTTGAATTGAAAAAACAATATAAGAAAGACTATATAATGAAAAAATGAAAAAAAATATGTACTTTCCAATATATTTTTTAAAAAATAAGAGACAATACGCCCCCCCCCTCCATCTTCCTGCGTCCGCCTACAAATCGAAAACTACGCAACAGCATTGATTTTAAACGAATAAACATTTTCAACAAGATTGGACGGTATTTTAAACACACAGACAAGTAACGCCTACTATCTTATAAATTTATATAAACTATACAGATATAAACATATTATATCGTATTTTATTTTTAATCTGATTTGTGTATATTTATACGACAAACTTGTTTTAATAATGAAATAATACCGCGATTGATGTTAAAAGCAAGGCTTTCATTTGATAAAAAAATTTCATTTTAAATTATTTAGATTTAAAACATTATAAGATTTTCGCGTTCATCGATGTTTAGACTTTAGACCTAACGAATTTAACATTATTTAATTGTTATTTAGAACTAAAGGTTTTGGATTTTTTATATTTAACGTACAGCGGTGTACACTTGATTTTTTTTACCAATTTAAAAAGACTCGGAAATGTTGTTATGGTAAGACACATGGGTACGTATAATAATATTATACATCGTAAGAGATGGTTTGTGTACTTTAAAACTCTAATAGGTATGGTGGTCTGCTCACATGCGTTCGCCTCCCACAAAGCAGTGCATAATGGCGGAAATAATAAACAAACCTTTCAGAATATCATAATATAATTTCAACATTACTTTTAATTTCCGCTTCTAGATTTACCAGGCCTATAGGGACGTTAATTGTTAGACATTGCAGTGTAGGTATGCACTTTATGCAGTTGATGGGATCCTTCCTTTGTGTCGTTTTAGTTGTAGTCCTATTTTTGGGCTAAGCTTTATCATAATAATAATTAATATAATATACGCCATTTCAAGTCTGTGCCGGTACAGGTATAGATTTTTGTGTCTTTTCCAAAAGGCTAAGAGTGTACAGAGTGATTCACCAAGCAAGCACGCTCATTGCTCACTCACGATTTTTTTTTTTTAATATCGGATATAGTCACCTATCGTACATTCAAACAATGACTGTTGAGTAAGTTTACTTAAAGACCATATTTTAAAATACTCAGATGTATTATGCAATACATATTAAGGAATTATGCCCTGTACTAATTTATTTTTTTTCAAACGAAAATAGCCCTTTTACTCTATCAATTTTTAAATTTCCGCAGTATTTATAATATAGAAATTCAAACTAGTAACTTTTGAGATATTTAACTTTGAACACTACGTTTTTAACAAAATTATCTACCTAACCTATTGGCTTTCATTTGAAAAAAAGAAGTTTGTTTCGTCAAAGGGCATTCATAAAATTGTATTAAGAAAACTAAATAAATAGTTGGTCCTTACATGGTCCTTACAAGTATTATTAAAAATACCGACAGTTGGAATTTGAATACATTTATGGTTCATGAAAGAAAAGAACTGAGCTTGCTCGGTGAATCTGTCTGTACACAAATAATATTATTATTATTCAACCACACTGAACGCCATTATTTAGGGTTCTGATAAATGTCACAAGCCCGCTGGAGGATGTAAAACGAAATATTACATACCTGTGTACCACGTTAGCCAGCAGATCGTTGTGTTTCAACTTGTATTGCGTGTCCACTTTTTGATAATTTACGGTCAACGAACCAGATTTAATGCAACGTTCCTGCGAATGAAAAAAAATCGATATTAAAACGTTAAAATAATATATAATAATAAATTGCGTAAGTAACGATTACGTTTTATGCGCGTGGGTATGTTTATTGGTAATATGCAAGTCCCGTACATTTTGGTGAAGAAAATACAACGATTTATTTTAAAGGGGGACTATTTTTATCCTAGCAGCTATTTTCACAACGAGTGAAACGGTTGAATAGGTACCTAAATGTAAACGGACATGATGATGGACAAGACGCAGAGAGAGAGAGGTCACATGCCCATTTCGGACATTATATTTTGATATAATTAGGTATTATTTTTTACATAACATTATAGTATATTATATTATACAATTAAATTGTGTTTAGTATGATTATTGATTATATTATAGATGAAATTTGACGAAATAAAAATTACGAATTGTCGCTGATATTGGTGCTATTATATATCTGTATTATGTTTTCTGTAATAATATATCATGGAAGAGGCATAGTACTCTTAGGTAAGTTTCTTCGATAATTTAGTATTAATTATAAGTGTTTCAGTAATAACTACGACAGGAAGTTACATATATTATTATATGACAGTAAGTGCGTTTTTATCGGGTTATTGTGCTGCAGGATGGGGTGAAATATTAGACCAGAAAGCCTTTGGAAAATTTCAAGTTCTCCACGCCACTGATGGTAAATAATATAATATAATATATAAGTAGGTACTCACGTATTCTTCAGCGGGATGCGCTCTGAACTCCCTGGCGAACACATCCAATATATTTTGATTTACCCATCTGCCCTTGGTGAACGTAGTGAATGTAAAATAGTATGGGTAAACTTTTCTCAAACCTAAACGAAAACGAAATAATGTAAGTACAATAATATGCGAATCCTCGATACCACTTTGGGTTTTTCTGCAGCCAAAGCTCTACATGAATTTTATGATTGAATAAGATTTTATTTTTTCGAATTTTCAGCATACCTAAAAACCATATTTTCAGATACTTTGTTTTGATACCATATTCAACTAACATTTAAAGAGCGTGGCCTTGCAAAATTAATATTTTCAAATGTGAACCACCCCTTTTTTACTGCTATGTACCCTAAGTACTAAGGATAATAATTTTAAATGAAATATAAAATATACGCAATATTTAGACTACCTAGTACTGATTATACACAATGTAATTCTTATAAGCTATACAATTGTACTAACGTAGTAAAAATTACTATAATTTTAAAAATAATCGTTTGGATTTCGATTGATCTACGAAAAAAATCATCTTTTTAACAGTATGAAAAATAATAAACAAAATGTATTTTGAATAAGGATGGTTTCTTATTTGAAAAAAATAAATTTATATATTGCCATACGATATTTTTTAAGTTGCATAAACAATTTAAGTACTAGCAAATATGGCTTATAAGTATGTGGTTATAAAATACAAAAAAATAAGATTTTGAATAATTGTATTTTAAAATAAAAAAGATGGATAGCCTGTACGGTGCATCACGCCGCGTACTATTATTATTTTGTATTTTTACCGTTTTCAATATAGTACGACGTCTCGTTGTATCTTTCGTCGGTAAATCCGGGACGTTTCGCTTTCAGTGCTTTAGTTTCCAACTTGGCCTGCAAAACCACGAAAAAATGTTCACGTCGTACATTAATAATATCATAATAACAACATTCGGTGTTGGATAAATACAAAAACTTTGGTTAGATATTGAAAATCTTTTCTTGTTTATATAGGAGATTTTCTATTGTGGTTAAATAAGAACATTAATAAGAATTTTTAAGAAGTTTTTCATTTTTAAACTTCATCATTGCACACAAACAGTGAGACAATGACGATAATCCAATATATATATAACTGGTATATACATGGTTTTTTAAAATAGTTATTTAACTTCATCGTATGAATTTATCGGCTCGACGGAACCAAATATTTTACACATTACTCATATTTATTTGAATGATTAAATTCTTACTTTATGCACTTTAAAAGTTTTAATAATTTTCGTCTTTATTGTTCACGGTGTTTGTACTGGTAAGGCAAATGTTTGGAGTCCATAAAATATTTAAACGTTTAAGTATATACCTAAATACTATTTTTAAATATTTATTCTTTTTGTTCATAATTTGTATAAAAAAGGTTTCGTTAAAAGGTTAAATGTATGAATAAAATGTTCATACTAACTCAATACCATATAATTAGATTTCATCGCTACGTTTATATATATACCGACAACCGACGCTTACACTTATTTTTTCATTAATCAACTAAAACGTTATTTTTCAACCTTTGTTCAAGCGTGACTTCTTTTTCAATAGTTCTAAAATCGTTTCAAATACAGTTCAAACATAATGTACGACAAAACAATAGTGTAAAATGTTATGGTTATTCGGTCACATTCTCATTTCATCGTTGATTTTCGGTAAATACAGGTACCTCTACCGTAGTCATCTCTATAGGCACGTAGTTTTGAGTCACTTTTATTTTACGTATTGTATATTTAATTCCCGTCTACGTGCAATGTCTGCAATATTGCGTAAGGCAAATACATATCTATATTATTACGTAGGTAGCTACTAGGTGCCCATACTTTATCGGGAGGCTGGAAGGGGGAGGATGTCATATTATAGAAATAGATAAACCCGGAATGCTAAAATATATCTAATATGAAATGGAAAATATTGTATAAATACGTGTACCTACATAAATACATATTATAGTGGAAATATAGTATTAAATTCGATTTCAATATAATATCCATCCTAAGAAAGTACGAAAAAAACTGTCATTGTTCGTGTTGATTATTATTTATTTCATAATAATAATAGTCCGCTTTAGAATATATTTTTTTCGCCGTCGAAATCCAGAGTTGTAGGTACACTTGTACATCACGCTCGGGAAAACTTCACAATAATAATATTATAATATAATTTTACTGCATAGTGTATATTATGATTTAATTATATCATGAAAGCAAAACATAGTACATACAAATATGCAATGTTTAAAACGCATTAAAAATTAAAGGCAAGTTATTTTCGAACAATTATATATAAAATCAAAACGCGACCCTTCATATAATTTATTATAAACTTTAATTTTAATTTTCAATACCACGACACCACAATCTCAGTATTTTCTAAGCGCACCTATTATAGTCGACCTACGCATGAATCAAACGATTCGAATAACACGTCATAGTTTTTTATAATTTAATATGCTTTAAGAGCTCTGGAACGCATACAATTAATAAAAAGCTGTACGTTCAATGGTTCAAATAATATATACGCTCTCAAAAATATTACTAGAGACAAAAGACATCCGACCAATCGCAAAAAAATAAACATTTAAATTAACTTTCAAAAGAGCTTAGTGAATTCGTTAAGCGTATAATAATATAATAATGTCCATTGTTATCTGCGTATATACATTCAAGAAGTTTTAATAGCACTCGCGGAGTTGGTTATTCGTAAAATAAAGAAAAGAGTTGTGGTTTATTTCCCTGCGGACCATTCACTGGTACCTAATGCTAATGCCGAAGAAGGTACTGTTTGTATAATTTTAAAGCGATAACGAAATCGTATAATCTAAGTTCGTGATGATGTTAATCCTACGTACACAATATTTTGTTGACGCGATGAATTATATTTTTCCAGAAATCAAACTTGTGCGGAAATCGTATGAAAAACGCGTGAACATTACAAGTAAGGTATATTAAAATATATCATAGCGACTTGCAGTCTTCGTATAAAAAAGCCTCCCCCCCCTTCCTCAAGATTATTTACCTAGCTGTGATTTTTAGACACCTTGTTTATTATAACCAATATATAAGCATATCAAGTAGTCGTAGTAGATGTATGGAAAACGAACTTTTTTAGGCATAATTAAATCCCTTCGTAATAATTTCTCTCAGTGGTCTATCCTTTGCCACGTCATCAGGATTCTCCACTCTTAATAAACACAAGTCCTGTCTGGTGTCGCACCATCGTTACCTTGGTCTCTAAGGTTAGGCGTACGGTTCTATTTCTATCTGGTGTCTATGAAGCTATTTTAATAAACATTTTCACTCCTGCGTGACAGATACAATACATAATATTAATTTCAGTCCAGCCCATCTAGTGTTCTTCGGTATTCCTAATATATCTTCTTTGGATGTTTATTTAATAGTTTATCTGTGTCATCATTAGTTCTGCCTTCCATGTCCACCGTATTCCTCAGGTTAGGTTAGATTTCTAGTGCCTATGTTATTTTTGAGTCCAAACATTTGTCTTGCTATTTTCCTCTCAAATACCACTTATTTACTTTTTAATTTGTTTCTCGCTTCCGTTGAAGGTCGTGTCTTGGTGGCATATGAATATTTATTATCGTGAAATTGGTCTAATAATGATTTTCTATACATTGTTGTCTTTGCATTAAACATGGTCTCAAACTCTCGACGTTACGCCTCACATGTATTTACTGGTCCTAATCTTCTTTGAACTTCCGCCTATACTCCATTTGTTCTATCCAGTCCAACTCAAAGATACTTAAAAGTTTCCACCATCTCAATTCCAGTTTGTCCCACTATGAATTGCGTTCGGTTGAGTCCTCCACGTGATGAAGTAAACATGTAATTAAATCACTTAAAACATTTAATAAATACTTAATGTCAAATGAAAATCCAAGCTATGTATTTAATTAAAATATAAAATACTAAATTGTATAAAAACTACGAATTAAATAAAAAACAAAGGCTATAAAAAAAAAAATGAGTGATTATTTTCATCATACATGGATTGAATATAGAAAATTTATATGTAATTTATTTAAATAAATTAAAAAGAATAATTGTTCCATCATAAAAACTATAATTATTGTTTTGATTTAAAAATAATTATTGGTTAACGTATGGCAAAATGATTACTTTTTTGTTCAATCTTTAAAAAATATAAAATGGGTAATATTTAAAATACTAACTTTGACTACTAAGTTATTTTAAATTCAATCTAAAATGGTATATAATTAATTTGAAATGCATTATTTTAATTATTGAAAATGTTCTCAACTCTAGTTGTAAGATAGAATATAAGAATTGCGAATATACACTTATATGTATGCTAAGTGCCGTTGTAAACTCGTTTGTGTAGGTGACAGGGTGGGCATTGAGCATATGTTAGGGACACGTTATTCTTTCTATAACTCACCACCCATATTAATGCGAAGATAGGGGGATTTAAGATAAAGTTAACAAATAACAAAAATAATAAATAATCATTTATGCAGCGAAACGGAAAGAATTATAATGTGTGATATATTTTTACGTTGTCGATTGGCGGTTTGGTTAGTATAATATTGTATAATATTTTCTTTTCATGTCTTGTAATAAAATGTATAATACTATTATTATATTGATGTTTATTTCCACATTCCATCAATATACAATATCATTGTTTCACGTGTATTGTGATAAGAGTCTGCAATTAAACTACATAAAAGAATACCACAACAAAGTTTTATGCATTGTATTATTAAGTTGTTTATTTTTTTACTCATTATTACGGTTGTTGTGTAATTATAAAATTATAATATAGACACACTTCATTGAGGCATATTTCAAACTTACAAATGTTACTGTTTTTATAGTGCAATTGTAAAGATAATACATTTATTATAAAATCGAAAGTTGATACAACATATTAGAGACAATGCCGTATTTTCGTTCTAGAAGGCTTATGAATATATTTAGTAGGTACTTATTAGTTTTAAAATTTAAAGTAAGATTACTAAGGATACATTTTTTCATTTTTTTTAACAATTCATATTTTGTAACAATTTTGTTGATTTGAAAAAAGGATACATAGTTATGAATCTCCAAAATGTTGTTAATTTTAAATCGTACAAGTTTTATTTTCCTCTGAAACTGATAATAGAACAATCAACAACTGGATTCCGTTTTACGGTAATTATAATGCGCTGTACATTTTTCAATCTCTAGAAAATATTAAATACATAGTCTTCCACCAGAAAATACGTTCTTCGACTCTTTTATCATCTGTGTAGGTACGTCAGAATATGTTTAGTGATTATATTATTATATGTGTCCCTGCAGAGTTTATTTGGCTTTTGAATGGTAGTATAATACAGTCTGGCTTAAGCATACATTTATCGTGAGGCAGATGATCGATTTTACTCAATGCTCATAATGTAGGGCGAGCAGCGACATGTTGAAAAATAAAGAAAACGGAATGTATAGAAACTGCTAACTAAAGATGGATGATAGACGGGACGAGGAAGTAAATCGCACACAGAAAAAAAGGTACACGGGTACAGCACTACAACGGCCGTACAGATATGTGTGTAATAATAAAAATAAAATATGCTCTGTACGTGGCTATTGTGGGATTTTTTTTTTTTTCATAAAAAAAAGCATGAGTAACTTACGATTTACAGCTGGTGAGTAATAAACGTGTTCAGATATCGTTTTTATTGTACCTAGGTACACGGGAAACGGAGTAAACGATTTTGTACTCTGCACGTTGATCCACCGTTTCGACTAAGAGTGATTCGGAAATGGATAACTAGTAATTCGTAAGTCCCTCACGTGCAAAAATCATTTTATTCACCAGCGGGTCTACTC